AGATGCACCGGGTTAACATCCTTCAAATGGAGGCAGCTATGGAAGCTCTTAAACCAGGCCGAGAGATCGGGGACGTATTCGAGGCTTATGCCCGTGTTGCGGACGAAAACGGCTTCCGGGACCAACGTTTTAACAGTTGCGGCTATAGCTTAGGCGCAACATTTTCGCCTACATGGATGGATTTCCCCATGTTTGTGCGTGGTCAGAACGTGGTGGCAAAGCCGGGAATGGTGTTCTTCATCCATATCATCCTGATGGATAAGGCCACCGATACTGCCAGCTCTATCGGTCAGACAGTAGAGGTGACTCAGGATGGATGTGTTGCGCTGTCCAAGCTGCCTTTCTGTCTTACCCGAAGACAAACCATCGCCACGTGGAAGAAGAACATCCGGAAAGAGGACTATGGGTTCACCGCTGATGAGATCGATGATGGGGAGAATCTCCAAGATGTTGAGCTTAGCGATGGAGACGTCGACGAGGAGGATTATGATGTTGAATACGATTTCAGCGAGTACAAGCCGGCAGCTGCGTTGGGTGACCCGACGCAGAGTGCCTAACAGTCAGAGCGATGTCAGTGGAGACTGAGAGGATCGTCTACGGTGAATTCTTGGTCTAGCAGTTCTATTGTCCGTAATATTGCGCCCTTGGTCTTGTCATTAACTATGTTAATCAGTTGTCGTTCTGTTTTAGTCTTTAGATTATTGCTATTATATTTCCCTCCGATGATTGCTCTTTTCTATGGGACCTTTTACATCTCGTAGGTTTTGCTAAATGCCCATTACGTTTCCTGGCTAGTTAGCGACTTTGCGTACTTCGAATCTAGAGATTTATTTGGAACAACCCCCCCCATCGCTACACATACAAATCGTTGAATTCAATGCACACATCCATAACTATGCCCTTTCTTAAACAATTGCCTCGGTTGGCCAGTCACAAGGATTAAAAAGAGTCAACTCTACAAACTTCTCCAACTACACAGAAGAACATCAATTTGAGCAAAAGCTTTCTCACCCAAAACCACCAACTAACTGTACTCATTCATCTTCGAGGTGCTCCCATATCCACCCGCCTGTACCTTGGTGACGTGACCTGGTGGCAATGCTTTGGTTAATTTCACCGTTTCAGCAATGGCAGCTTTGAGGTTATCAATTGCTTCATCACTGATTTGATGATGCAGAGCAATTCGTTCATCCATGAGCTTCACATTGAACCTGGCACATTGCGCCAACAAAATCCCCATATTCACGTTCGACTTCTTGGCGTCGATAAAAAAGAAATTGGTATGAACCGGAAGTTGAGGAACAACACCAAGCGCCCCCAAATCTTTCTCCAATCTCTTGGCCTTCTCGTGCGTCTGTTTCATGGTCGGCCACACTTCCTCCAAAGCCACCAGGGCCGGAGCCGTAAGAACCCCAGCTTGTCGAATGCCGCCCCCCTGCTGCTTCCTCAGCCATCTAGCCCGCTTGATGTTGGAACTGGTGCTGGCAAGGACTCCACCGACCGGTGCCCCCAGTCCTTTCGAGACACACATCGACACGGTGTCAAAATACTGGCAGTAATCGGCCAAAGAGTGACCAGTAGCTGCAGAGGCATTCCACAAGCGAGCACCGTCGCAATGAACCTTGATATCATGGGCACGCGCAAACTCGGAGATCTTTTTGATCTCTTCCATGGGAGTCACAACTCCACCTATGGTCACCTCGAGACTGATGACTTTCGTTGGTGCTGTATGAATATTGTCTCCCAAGACGGTCCAGTTCTTGACATCGTCCAACGTCAAGTATATACCGTTCGCCGGATGGACGGGGGTCACCATGGCTTGAGACAGCACCGCCAATCCAGACCCTTCTTCGGCATAGACGTGAGCGCGGTAGTCGCACAGCACAGAGTGTGGAGGTTGATTGAGGTGGACACGGACTCCGATTTGGTTGCCCATTGTTCCAGAAAGCATGAAAAGTGCATCTTCCATTCCAGTTAATCGTGCGATTTCGTTCTGAAATTTTGTTGTGATCGGGTCTTCTTGATACACGTCGTCTCCGAATGATGCGTTGGTCATGGCAGCCAACATGGACGGCGTCGGGGTGGTGAAGGTGTCGCTGCGGAATTCATTTTCGGCTGGCGATGATGCCGCCTTGTTCAACATCGCAGTTGAAAACAGTATGTCGTTATTAGGTAAATATGTGTGTTCGATTTTGAAAGTAGGTGATCTCCCGCGGAAGGATTACTGACTGTTGCACAGATGATTCCCGGTTGCGAGTCTCATTATTTGGAGAACAAAATGGACTGTGGAAAGGCCTCATAAGAAAAGACCAAACGGGCCATTCCCACAGAAAACAAAATAGGTGGAGTTCACCATCCTAGATACTGTTATCTATGAGGGGTAAGATATTGTCGATCTCTATGAGAAATCCTCAGTACTAGTATGTACAGGACCGTGAAAGGCGGAGTAAACTTCCCGTCCATAGAGCGGAGTAAGATACTTGGAGGTTCCAAGGTAAATTACGCGCCGTAAGATGCTGGAATAGGTAACTCAATAATGTACCCCTTAGTGGAAGGTTGCATCGATACGAGTTTAACTTAATTTTCCCCGCAACCTGCATGTTATTGGAAAAACGACAGTGATACAGGATCGGAGTACATAGCGGACAGAGTATGTGACCGATAATAATTTGATGGACCACGTCTAGTCGTGGACTAGATCAAGAAGCCCAGATCGTACGAATATATCCTCGCTTAGGTCTCACCAGCGGGGGCCGGACCTATAACACATTCAACGGCGGAGTTTTGTACTTCTTGAACATATCGACGCTTCTGGCAATGGCAGAACACAGCAGTCAGCGGCGAGACAAAAGCCCTGGAATCAGCTCTTGGTTCGTGCACGGGACACTCGTGATTGGCCTCATTTCAGCGTTTATCGCAGTCTTTATCAAGTCTTTCCAGTCATCTAGCCCACCCGTGTTGCACAAGTACACCCTGGGAACAGATTCTGGAATATGCCAACAAGTGCCGAAGCTGTCTCCAAGAAACAAGCAAGTCGAACAGTATGTTCGCGAAAAAGTCGACTCCGAGGAATACCAACGAGAAATCATCAACAAGCTATCCGCTATCATTCGTATCCCATCTGAGAGCTATGACGACTTAGGCCCCATCGGTGAAGACGACAGGTGGAATGTATTTTTCGAAGTGCAGGACTATATCAAAGTCAACTATCCTACGGTGTTTGAGAACGTGGCGCTGGATCACGCCAACACACACGGATTGATCCTGACATGGGAAGGCAGCGTGCCACCATCGGAGGCTAAGCCGATCCTCATGCTCGCACATCAAGACGTCGTACCGGTGCTTGCGGAGAACGTCAAGGATTGGACGCATCCGCCCTACGAGGGTCACTACGATGGTGAGATTATCTGGGGCCGTGGCGCCACCGATGACAAAGGCTACTTAATATCCATCATTGAAAGCTTGGACCTTTTGATTAAGAGCGGATTTGCACCGAAACGAACGGTTATCCTGGCTTTTGGCTGTGATGAAGAGATAAGTGGTGAGAATTGCGGAAGGCCCATTTCGGATTTCCTCCATGAGAAATATGGCGACGACGGGATCTACCTGATCATGGATGAGGGTTCCACAGGTATCCAGAGAGAATTCGATCAGTCTTTTGCCCTGGTCAGCATCGCAGAAAAGGGCTATTTGGACGTTGTGATCAATGTCTCGTCGACGGGCGGTCATGCCAGTAACCCGCCGGATCATAATGTCATTGGCATCCTATCGGAAATTGTGGTCGCAATTGAAAACCACCCATTTCCTGGGAAAGTCACTCCGAACAATCCAATGTTTCGCTTTCTAGAGTGTGGCGCCATCCATGCTCCCGAGTCAAGGTTCCCCATGGCAGTTCGCCGCATGCTGGGACCGGCTGCCCAAAACGACAGTTTCAGCCAGGAGCAACTAGCACGGACACTGGATGATATGAGATATTACTTCCAAACAAGCCAGTCTGTTGGAAAGATCAATGGAGGAGTCAAGATCAATGCCATTCCCGAAACAGCATCCATAATGGTCAACCTGCGCCTAGCCGTCGAAACCTCCATTTCTCAGGTTATGGCGCACTACGAGTCTCTTGTCAGTCCGATTGCGAAAAAGCGCGGAATGGCATTTGGAGGGTTTCATTCGCCATGTAGCCTTACAGACAAACGGAAGGTCTGTATGTTTGGAGTCGACGCCTTAGAGCCCGCTCCCGTTTCTCCTGTTGATGCCGAACCCTACCGCATCTTGTCTGGCACTATCAAAAATGTTCTCAAGCCACTGGCCCCAGAAGACAGCCTTATAGTCACGCCATATTTGATGCCAGCCAACACCGACACCAAGTTCTTTTGGGCCTTGACCAAGAACATCTATAGATTTACGCCTGTGAATCTAGTAGAAAATCTGAACCGGGCGCATACGACTGATGAGTTTATTCGGGCTGATGAATTTGTACGAGAGCCTCTATTTTTTGCGAGTCTGATTTTGAATGCCGATGATATTGTGGGTTAGTGAAAGTACGAGATATCAAGCGCATGTTGAACAACTTCACAAAAAAATAGACTAGATACCAGTTCAGTTCTCGCTATAAAGTGTATATATAGAACGTCATTTGCGGTACAGAATGGCTCGCTCCCCTCTACAACACCCTTTTTTCCATTTGTAGTGACCTTTAGATGCTCAATGCCTGCTGCCGCAGTACCCCCACTAGTATTCGGATCGCCGTTCGCATCCTTTCTCTCTTCTTCCCTCAGGCTGCACAGTAGTGTTAGACGCTGATTGTTTTAATTACATCTAAGGTGTCGCAGTTCCTGGAGGCGCGACTTGGGAGAATCCAACCTTCCAACCAATCCTAACCAAGTCAATCTGAAGACGGGAACTTTTTAACACTCGTTGTATTCAGAATACCAAAAGAGAATATACCAACACAGATAGCCACTCCAGGTCAACCTATATCCCGACAAAGAATGACATCCAAACTACTCGAACCAGCTATTGAACCAACCCGAAATCTTGCCTCTCTTCGGCGCCTCATACAACGCCTCGTAAAGGTCAATCTGGGCCTTGGTCCCTCCAAGCTGAAGATCAGCCTCTCCCGGTCGGACATAGTGTGTCCGCTTGAAAAGCTTCCAAAACACACAGGCCACGATGAAAAACCCGATCATAAGGTAAGAGGTGCAGAACGTTGTGACGTCCCAATGGCCATCAATAAACACAGTGTACCCGAGAATCAAGGCCACAACAAGTGTCATCACCGCAGCGTAGTACGCTGCATAGGGCTGGAAGTATCCACGATATGGAAGAGTCTTTCTGTCGATGCCCTGGCGCTTGAGCGCAGCGTAAAAATGCAGGTATGTCACGACCGTGGCGAAGTAGTTGATCATATAAGATGCAGTGCAGATTCCGACCAACCAGTTGAGAATAGTGGCAGATGTATTCCCAAGTTGCAGCAAGGAAAGGAGGCAGAACGCCAACGCCGCGATGACTGAGTAGACCGGAACACCGAATTTGTTACACTTCGCAAAGATCGCGGGCGCCTTGCCATCCGCAGCCAGGCCATGAAGTGTACGAATAGACGAGTAGACAACGTTGTTCCCGCAAGAAAGAACGGACGTCATGATCAACGCGTTGACCAAGGAGGGAAGACCTTTAATTCCGAATTTCACCATTGAAATGACGTAGGGAGAGCTGTAGTATGCGTAAGCTGCGCATTCAGAGCTTGTAAGAGAATGGGTGCGACTTACGCAGCTCCAGTGCCACCCTCGGTCCCATCGATGTATTTGTGCAAGAGTTCGTCGTTATAGGGAATGACAATACCGACGCAGAGAGCGCCGCCAAGGAAGAAAAGCAAGAGACGCCAAACGAAAGAGGAGAAGGCCCGATGCATCAGTCTACGAGGATTCTCGGACTCGCCAGCTGTCATGGCGATGAACTCGGGACCGACCATACTGCGTGATATAATCAGCCATACTGTAAGGAAAGTGGCACATGTTGCGGATACTGACGTGAAAGAGCCCTGAATAACGCATGAAAGGAACCCCAGAAAGCGTCCTGTGTCTCCAGGAACGAGGTACTCGACAAACGAACCCTTAGAGCGTAGTAATTAGCAAGACAGCATAAAAGGGCTTGGATCTAACGTACTGGATTTTTCCAATAGGTAAATCCATAGGCCCAGCGCCATGGATTTCCACCAACCATGGTGACGAAGGTGTAGCAAATGAGTCCCAGCATGAGGAAGACCTTGAAGATGGCCAAATAAAACTCGGCTAGTCCAAAGTACCGAACTGCGAGTCCATTGAGAACACTATAACGCGGAGGTAAGACCATTTGCCAGTATTCTGCGATTGGGGTAGGGAGACATACGCATATATCACCAAGCATACCATGACAACCGCGACTACCGGAACCTTGTCGGTCCAGTATGTAAGAAGGACATTAATTGCAGTTATCTCATATGGAATTTGGAAGGCTTGATGTAAAGAACTCAGTCAGCGGGGACAAATGCAATAGAGTGAAGGGTCAGCATTCACCCATAAGGAAGAAGTAGTTCCAGCCCATCGCAAAGCCCCATGCATCGTCCACCCAAAATCCGCCCAGACGGATAAATGGGGAAGCGATCGGAAGATAAGTTACCATTTCAGCTACACAAAGCAACCGTGTCAATACGCACTGTGCTGGATGATAGGAGTTTGTAGGACTTACCGAAGCATTGATTGACACACCAGATGACGGTTCCATAAACCACAAAGCCCAAAAAGAGGCCTGCAGGGCCACCCTTTGGCAGACTTGCGCCCATCTGAACGAACAGGGCTAGGGAGGCTAGTCAGCTCAATCTGTTAATCTTGCTCTACGCGAGGCTCACTAACACGTTCCAATAGCGCCACCCACTGCCAATAGCTGGATTTCCTTTCCACCTAGCTTCCGCTGGAGGTTTTCCGAGCCAGCGGAAATGAGCTCAGAGGTCAAGGCCTCCTCGCTGTCGTGCTTGTCATGTAGGCTTTGGCCAAGGCCCTTCATTGCCTCGGACGAGTGCTTGTAGTCAACGCCCTCTGAAGGATGCGTGGCGGCCTCCATGATAATTGGAGTGCCCGATGTTCAAGATTCAAGGAAACGAGACTAGTAAAGGGGGGTAATGATTCGGGAAAAGAATGGGAGCGGAGAGGAGCTGATATAATATTAGTGAAGATCTAAATTTGATAGAAACTGAGGGCTATGTTACCTCCATTGAAAGGGCGTAGGAGCAAGTTTCCTGGTCCGTATCCCTGCATCTCGAAGATCACAACCACCACAATACGGTGTCAGATAGGGTCAGATATGTTGTAACAAGCGTGAGATAGAAGGTTGGACGTATTATAGATACAGGTCTAACCCTAACAGGACAGAACAGTACCATCAATACAAGATATTTCATGGTTCCGGTATTAGCTTTAGCGCGCGGAACGTGCGTCCCAGTACCTCGGGTCATGATTTCGGCCTTCTGGTTCATGCCAGGCTACCCAGGTAGGACTGCTGAAGCTTTCTACTGTAGGTTATTTTAAGTGGATGATAGCCCAATGCAATATTGGTCTGATCAAGTACATTATCTTACATTGAGATATCGGTCTTCATTGCGTCAGAACATAAAACTCGTCCAATGGCTCAACTATCCCCCCTTCAAAGGACATCGCTCGCAAGACGACTGGCCAATTTCACCAACTCCACGGCCGGGCTGGACTTGACCCTCCGTCTGCTCCATAGCCTGGCCCTTATCGGGACTGAACTTAAGTTCAGTAATGCGACTGTTCTGAGATACTCGGTTGCAGCATCTCAGATAGGCCAAGGTAGGTTCGTTGTGGTGTTCTTCCGTGGAAATCCAGCACTGAATTGCCTTCAGGAAGGCGCTATCTTCGCTTCTTCTGTTTTCTCGATTGTTTCCAAAATGTTCAAGACATTCTGGCCGGAGGGTACCCTTTCAGCAGGATAGCGGTAATGGAGCTGGCCGAATCTAGCTGTTTGGGGATGTATCTTGCTCTGGAGGGCACGACCATGGTGAGCGCCACAGCTTCAATTCATCCGCGATTATAGCACATTGTTAACCATCAAGCCCAGCTTCATGATATGGACGTCTTCTTGGTTTCGTGGTATACGCCCGTTCTACTTGAAGCCTACAAGTTCTGGTTCTATGCTATCTGCATAGCAATTGTTAGAACTGTCTCGGATCTCTTTCATGGCCCGTCGGCACCCAGTACTCGAGACGGCTCCGTTGGTGAAAAAGAAAAAAAAGAGAGGTCAGGCCATTCATCCTCAAAGCGGGCCCCGTCGACTGTTGTTCTCTTAAATCGTCTTATGATTAACACCTTGGACTTGACTATTCCCGGCTCTTTGCTGGGATGGATTCCCGTTACCAACATGGGGGTTGCAACCGCCATGCTGATCAGCACCATACTCGTTTGGCCGACTGCCTGGGCGGAAGCGAACTTTAGGTTATTATTATTGAGAGAAGGACGGGGATAGATGTGATGGGATATATCAATGAACGAGAGCAATAGAGATTGCGGACTATGGCTGGAAGCACACCCTAGATCCCGCGGACTCCGCAGTGACCCCATCAAAATGTGGGGTTCATTACCCCGCAAGACTCCTTAAACGTTCCATCCATGGATTGAAGTCTGGAATAATAAGATAGCTATCGGCCTATCAGCATGAATGGTTATATCTCGTATTCGCGGGAGGATAAGCGATAAGGGACTGAAATAGCCCAATGGGCAACTACAGTAGAGGTCAATGTAGATCGGTCCTTTCAGACCACACTAGAGATTGTACACTTAGCTATTAGTTGCTTCTCCAGAGACGTGACGGTGCCCTATCGGAATTTGGACCCTTCCAAGAACAGTTGATTACTCCGTGCGTTGAACCTTGGGACCTTCTCCACACTTTCGCTGCTGTGCATGAATTCCTCCTCCAAGCGACCATCGACTACTGAGATATGCGCGTGACTAAGGGCTGTGCTCGCTGCCGACACCGTCACGCCCGCTGCGTAGTCCCGGTCGGTGCGTCGTCATGCTCGCGCTGTGCGCGTCTGGGCCGGCCATGTCATCTTGAGCCGCGCTTCCACTTCAAGCCTGTGCGCCATATATACCAGCAGTGTGGTAACGCTCCAGCCCGCTTCGACCTCGTCTGGGATGAGCAGCAGGTCTGGGTGGGGGTCACAAGGCCACGTAGGTCCCCTCTCTGGTGCCATCCGATAGCTTGCCAAGTAATAAGCCGCTTTAGTGACCTTTGTGCGCCAGACCGACGACTTCACGCGTGAGCAATTTGAGCCGGACGACAGGGACCAGAATCTCGACCAGCTATATTCCCCGCCAGGTGAAAGCCAGCTCACGCTTCCAGATCCGATTGAATTTAATCCGACTGACACCTCCTCGAATAACTCCCCAATCTGCGGAACTAATGATGTCTCGGCACCCTCCCCACGGGAGGCATACTTGATCCGCTCCTACATCCAGAAGATCGCGGCAGTAGTACGGCTTCTATCGGCAACTTACAAGTCTGATAAAGAAAGAGCGCTAATGGGTAGCAGGCAGATATATGCGAACCCCAGGCTTACTTCGGTACTGAAGTTCCACGCCGAGCACTCGAAGAACCAATGCTCCTGAAAGCCCTCCTAGCACTTGCTGCCCGACATGATGCCATATTGACGAATGGGAGCGAGTGTGAAGCGTCAACCTTTCACGGAGAGTGTCTGCAGCTGCTCATCGTCGCCCTAAACCAACCGGAGGAGAACTATGACGACAATCTTCTCACCACCGTGGTTGTACTGCGTTTCTACGAAGAGCTGGAGAGGACAACCGACAGGAAATGCCACCTTCTCGGGTCCAACCGCCTACTCAATCTCATGTCTCGCTCGGCGTCGTCCGGAGGATTAGCCGAAGCAGTGAGCTGGCAATTCTTGCGCCAGGCTATTTACTCATCTATAGCCCAGTATGAGCCAATACAACTGGATTTGCGAAATTACGAGCGTTCCTCGGTCTTCCATCGCGATGACGATGCCGCCCGCGCGAATGCCATAATCTTTTTCTGCGCATGCATACTTCAGCTATGCTGCGCTGTGCCAGGGTACGCCATTGACCGAAAAAGCTGGCAGCGTCTGACAGATTGTGTGGAGGAGTGGCACTGCAATAAGCCGAGGAGCTGGCAACCACTTCGATATCAGCCCCCCGGTTTGTCTGCGGATCAACCGTTTCCTGAACTATGGATCATCTCACCCCCTGCTGGTCGGTCTCGCTTGTACTCTCACTTGATGCTATGCAAAGCTCACTGATTCTTCACCAGTGGTCGGTTTGCAATATTATCACGCCTCCAAGATATTTCTCACACTGTCAGATGCGCCGTCACAGCGGATGACGGATTATGAAACGTCGCAAGCGCGACTCATCGCAGAGGTCTGTTCCAGACACACTCCCTGGTATACTTGACCGCTGATATCCGAGATAGAAAACGATTGCGGGCCATCTCGTGGTGGCCATTGGACTGTCTTTATCGAATGACAGCGTTCAAAATAGCTACTATATCGCCTCGCACTTGCTCCAACGCTGTAAGTGCCCGATCTGATAGAATCTCGAGACTTTCTGACAGTATATCCAGTTGGATATTGCTTGCAGCAGCCGGCTGAGCAACAAGGAGCACTGCGTTTCCTGTCTCGTGTAGAGAAGAAGCTCGGATGGCGCACTTCATGGACTGGGCGAGATCTAGAGCGACAGTGGAGGGATCGTGCGAATCTTTCCTCGGGGGCTAATTGAGAGTCTCCTCTGTGTTTGCCAGCATTGAAGCTGATTTACCGTCAATTAGCGTTGTGGTGTAATGTTTATATCCATGTCAATCAAGCCTCATAAATTCCAGATCTTAGGCTCTTCTTTGTAGTATGATCGCATTCCACTGTACTCAATAGTATTCTACCCTGATAGTGGAGCATATTGTAGAGCTTTGCACTATTTAACTTCTACACTCGCTATATATATGACAGACAAATGTAGATACTACGAGATCTTTGGATGTCTCTTGTAGATGTCTTTCCCTTTTATAGTCAACATTGACCTACAGTACAGATTGTGGTCAGAACAGCAAAAAGAAGAATTTCCCCAAAAGACTTTTCCATGTATACCTATATGTAAGTTTTGAAGGACGCTGTGATGCCAAGCTATGGATAAGGCTGATGACAGTCACGTGAAAACGGCATCATCACGCCCCCTCTTATCAATCCGACAACAACACCAGACGCAATCCATTTGTTCTGCAGGCGTAGTCCTCGGCCAAGGATGATTTAGCTTGTACGATGACCTTGAAGCTCCAATTTCAATTACGCACGGGCTTTTTTTCCTATTCCTAGCCCGGATCTGCTGGGCTCGAAGTAACTGTACCTTGATCGCGACATCATCGGTTATCGGCTTCAGGACATTCTCACAAATCCCACGTTCACATCTCCAACATGATACCGTGGTCGTCATTCGTTCAGAAGGCCCAGAGCCTGATTGACCCTGCCAATTTCAATATTCCCGCCCTATCCTCGCCCGATCATAATCCCTCCAAGGCATCGTTATTCCGGCAACAATTCCGCCTCCCTGATTCCCAGAACCCGCTTCAAGAGATCACCGCCGATCTCGTTCTACCACTGCCAAACTCCTCGACAAACCAAGGAGATGGCTCCCGCCGCATCGACCGGGCGGGAAACACATACACCGGACGTCTGCATCTGAGTGAACGTTTCATCTGCTTTTCAACCCAGCCGACAAGCTTCGTTCCCTCTGCCACAGCAAGTGCCTCAACCACTTGGACTGGCCAGACGCATGGCACTGGGCCATCAGGCAATGGATTCATTCTCCCGCTGTCCTGCATAAGACGTGTTGAACGCCTTCATAGCGCCAGTCATGTTTTCTCCCTTGCGCTCACAACATGGAATGGCTTGCTCAATAAGCAACAAGAACCCAACTTCGTCCCTCAACGCCTCATATTGCAGCTTGTCGGTAGCAGACAGGCCTGTGAGCGATTCTGTGACACACTGAAAAAAGGCTTACGGGAAGGAATGAAGGAAGTTGACAGCTTGCGGACCGTCGTCTCGGATTGTTATTCGGAATATCTGCTCTCAGGTGCAAAAGGAAAGGGACAAGATGGGAATGAGGCTGACACTCGTCAACCGCCAGATGCGGGGCTTGGTCTGATTTTCCGCTACCCTGGTGATGCACGCAAGCTGCGTGATCGCAGCAAGATGAGACTATGGGGCGAGTATTTCAGAGGTAAAAGGACATCTATCTTTTCTTTGATCGTATTTCCGACATCTGACCGATATCCACCAGAAAATGGTCGCAATGCCATGTTGATTCGCCAACCAACCTTCCACAAGCTAATCAGGGTTGGTTTGCCAAACCGGTTACGCGGAGAAATATGGGAGCTTACATCCGGTTCTCTGTTCCTTCGTCTGCAATCTCCGATGCTGTATCAACAGACATTGGCCAAATTTGATGGACAAGAATCCCTTGCTATCGATGAGATTGAGAAAGATTTGAATCGCAGTCTACCAGAGTATCCTGGGTTCCAGAGCGAAGAAGGCATTGGACGCTTACGAAGAGTTCTCACTGCGTACAGTTGGATTGACCCGGAGATTGGGTATTGCCAAGCCATGAACATTGTGGTTGCCGCATTGTTGATGTATGTTTAGAGTCTCAAGTTGCGATGGGTGTCTGCTAACCTGACCAGATATATGTCCGAGGCCCAGGCCTTCTTCCTTCTCTCTGCGCTGTGTGACCGTCTCCTTCCAGGTTACTATTCAACAACAATGTACGGCACACTACTCGATCAGAAGGTGTTTGAGTCACTAGTTGAGAAAACAATGCCAGTTCTCTGGGATCACCTCACCAAATCAGATGTACAACTTTCTGTGGTATCGTTGCCATGGTTTCTCTCGCTCTACATTAACTCCATGCCGCTCGTCTTTGCTTTCCGTGTCTTGGATGTGTTTTTCTTAGAAGGGCCAAAAGTCCTCTTCCAGGTCGGTCTTGCCATTCTCCGAGTTAATGGCGAGGAACTTCTCGAGACACAAGATGACGGGTCGTTTATCTCTGTCTTGAAGTCGTATTTCTCACGACTGGACGAATCCGCCCACCCGAGATCAGAGAATCCCAAGCTGCGAGCCATTACTAGATTCCAAGAATTGATGGTGGTTGCTTTCAAGGAGTTCTCTGGTATCACTCACAGCACGATCACTGAGACACGCGAAAAGCACAAGGGTGCTGTGCTAGAGAACATCGAGACTTTTGCAAAGCGTACTTCTATCCGAAACCTTGGACCCGAAAGCAAACGCCTGAGCGTGGATGATCTTGGAACGATTTACGACCGCTTCTATGAGACGCTGTACCAGTGGGAGCAACGCCAGAAAGTTATCGAGGAAGAGACGAGGCGGCAAGAACGAAAGAACTCCCAACGCCTTTCCATGCTTGCTCCTCCTGCGGATACCCAAGTTGGCCGTGTTGGTCTTGGACCTAGCCCCACACATATGGATTATGACGCTTTCCGGGAGTTTTTAGCGGCGACATCCAAATGGGCGGTCGCTGACTCCCCTGGACCATCAACGAAAGAATCGTCATCAGGGAAATCGGCATTGTGGGCGAACCGCAGGCAGCCGGCAGACCATGAGTTCATGCAACGCCTCTACCGCAAGTGGGCCACAAACCCCGAGGAGGGATTGAATCTCCAAAATGTGGTGAATGGTCTCGCCCGCCTGAAGGGATCCCCTGACATCATGAATAACATCAACTACTTCTTCGACCTGTACGATGACAGTGGAAATGGCCAGGTTGATCGTGAGGGGATCCTCAAAATCTCCGAGGCGCTGTTGTTTCTCTCCCGGCGTGGGTTTGAGGGCACGATCACGGCCACTCCATCTGTGGAAAATCTCAACTCGATGGCAGACCGCGACCATGCTGAGAACTCGCTGACTACTGACGAGAAATTCCTCGGTAGTGTCAGCGCATTTATCCGTCGCTGTTTCGAATATGCCGACCCCAGCCACCCAGAGCACCAGAAAACAGACCAGCAAGATGCAACGGCAGAGGCAACTGAGAAACTAGACTCATTTGCCATTGGCGACGACGACGAAGAAGAAGACCTGATTGACGTTGATGATGCCAAGCCCACCAACTCTCCAGCACCAGACGTAGCCACCCAGTTGGCCAAGTCTACCACCGCCGAATTAGTCAGTCACAACCAAAACCACTCAACATCTGAGTCTGCGAACCCGGCTCTCGACCCTAATAATCCCCTGCATATCACTCTCCCCACTTTCCGAATGGTTATCCTGGCCGATGAACTTCTAGAGCAGTTCTTTGAATCCTATTTCCCTCAATCTTTCCACCTATCCGACCACCCCCACCCCGCGGCCCTGGCTGCATCATCCACAATGTCGTCCAACCTCACAACTTTCTCCAACCTCGGCAGCATCCGTTCCCCCGGACTAGCCGCAGGCTCAGCGCCCATCGCCGGCGCGTCAGGAGGCATCGTGCCGCCAGGCAAGGGCCTGCGCGGTGTCCTGGACAACATCGTCTCCGACGGAATCCGCATGGCCGCCGAAGTCAAGAAGCGAATGGACGAGGCACAGCGCGATCTCGAGCGCAACGCTCTCGGCCGCGAGGAAGATGAAGACGACGAAGACGATGAAGACTATCCCCGCCGTGAGAACACTGCCACCGCCATTCCTGGTGGTATCCCCAGCTGGGGCGCTGGCGCATACGGTGCTGATACCGAGCGCCGTAGCGTTGTCCGTGACGCTGACCGTGACCTCCTTGAAGGAGCTGAGGTGCTTGGCGGCGGAAAGGAAGAGAGAAATTCTCTCTTGGACGGAAAGGATGATGTGAACCACGCTCCTCGCAAGGTGTCCAGCTCTGCGGCTTCCGCTAAGGGCGGTGGCTCTCCCACAGTCCGCGATGGCGAGGTTATCAGCAAGCTCGTCGAGTTTGAGTCATGAATTCTTGCATACCGTCTTATGTCATATACGTTGGCCGCCATCTCACGTGTTTTTTCCTTATTGCCGATCCCTTGCTTAGATCGTCACACAATCTTGTACTACAACCCTTGGTTTGGATGTTTCAATTCATCTTTCGCCTGGTTCCCCTCGGATTGGAAACTGGAATTTTAGACCCCTCTTAGAAAGAACCTCCTGCTGGATCATTTCTTGTTTATTGGATACGTGGATTCGATGTAGCACTCTTCGTACATGTACAGAATTCTACAGGGTATTTGCGACGTAAATATGTCGAGATCAAAAGATAGATTTGAGACCTGTGTTTCCACCAACTGAATCAAAAATTCGTAAAGGGCAAAATCGCCCATAAAACAAAACTGTCCTGAATTCAGAGAATCGTCAAGTCATGGGATGTAATGACGTTTTCTATGTACAGCATCATCATCAAGCAGCCTGGAACAACCCCAGGGGGTGGAAGCGATCAATCACCACCAAACCTCAAAGTAGAAGTAGAATGGCATTTTGTGATGACGACACGAGAGAAGAAGAAAAAGGGTATAAAACAAGCATAGGCATAGAGAATAGATCCTCCGTCCATAGAGAAAATTGTAACCACGGCGGAGAATAAAGGCCCAAAAATAGAAAGGGATGAAAAGCGGTTGGGTGAAAGAAAGGTGAACGAAAAGCAAAGAAAAAAGGGCAAGTGTCGTGGTAGATGCAAGCTCCAAGAGAAGTATGAAGCCAAAATGCGAACAAAATGCGAATCAGGACACAAAAACGGTCGACTGGTACGGGTTTAGTCTTTTTGCCCCTCATTCTCGACAAGCTCCAAGACAATCTGGCTCCGCTCATACTCTGGATGCTGCATGCAGATTTTGACCGTGTTGCCCAAACCGGTGGGGGCCGGGGAGCCATTGGTGGCACCGGAGAAGCCGCTAGCAAGACCCATCGAGCCACCCGTGTTGGCTTGCGCGTTGCCATTGAGCGAGCCAGGCACCTTGCTGCCGTCATCGATGCAAACGACATTGCGGCCGGGAATAACCTGGCGTAAACGGCCGTTCATCGCATTACGGACCTCGACGAAGTCATCGTTGAAGAGAATTAGGAACTTGCCATAGAGACAGGCTGTGTGTGCGCTGCCCACGAACTCCATGACTACACTGCGAGAGACGTCGCCGTGTTTGTTGACATACACGGCGCACTGCTGGTAAGCTACTAGGAACTCGCTCTCGCTGAGACGGAACATGCCTAGTGGCTTGAGCCCACTGATGCGATTGGCAATGCTGTGTAGGGTATCGTGTGCATCTTGGGTATCGTTGGAGCTAAAGTCTGGGACAGACCATGAAAGCTTCTTGTCGAGGGTGAGGACTTCAATGCCCTTTTGGGTTGAGATGGCAAGAGAGGAGTGAAACATGTTAATTCGGTAGGTCTCGGCAGGGATGTAGAACTCGTCGTAATCGCGGAAGAACTCCGTTTGTGAGCGGCGCGAGAACAGGCGGGTCTTGTTTGTAGATGATTTCTGCAAAACGGGCTCGAGAACCTAGATTTTGTACGTGAGTTTGCTGTGGCTGTATTAAGTTTGCTGCGATTGCACATACCTTGAATGTAGATGATAACCCCTCACGCTTTTTGTACAGGACCAAGTATCGGTCCTTCAGACGACCAGCGGCAAAGAAGCCCACTTCACGGTTTCCAGACAGCTTCTGCGGGGCTCTTCGAGCGGAATCTTGAGAAGACTGGGAGTTTTTCCCATTGGGAGGACAGACGACATCGAGATGGTACGCAATCAAAGACCGATCCGCAATCAACAACAGTAGATTGAAATCCTCAAAGACGGCGACTTGTGAGACCCGCGTGATTGGAATAGCCCTGTACCAGCCCCGGGGGTTATTGAGCTCGGACATGTACACTCCGTAGTCTGTGCCAATTGCACACATGATGCGCCCAGGCGGCTGTTGGAACACCGTGGCACAGTTGACTGCAGTCTTGCATACCGCTGGAGGACGAGTCTTCTCGCTTTCATATTGCTTCTCGACTTCTTTGATCGCACGATGGAGGGGGGTGCCCTTGATGGTGACGCTTTTAGAGCCAGGTGTATGATCAGAGTATGCGAACGCAGTGTCCGCAAGCACCCGCAGTCGGAATGGCTCGGCATTCTGAGAGAAGAGAGCAGCAGCATGCTTTGTCTTCGCTTCAATGATCTTTTGGCACCATTCCAGGCGGCTTTGTGCCGAGAAAGCGTAGAGAGTATATGTTCCAGTTTTGCCTAGATGCTTGATTTTGAAAGGGTACAGGATCTTGTCGTCCCTTGAGTTGTCAATGGCCCCGTTTCCTCCAGACGCACCAGATCCTGTATGTGCTAGAGGGCTGGCAGCACCCGCTTGGGAGGGCGTGACAGTCGCAACGCCCCTAACGGATGATTTGACCACAGGATCATCGTCGGTGCTTTCTAGGCCTAATAGGTCCATTGGGATGGGCAGTTTTGAAATATCGTATCGCTCGTACTTCACTGCCCGGTCGCGCATCGTGAATATCTTCGCAAGAACAAGATAATGATCGAACAGGATGGCGTGTGTATCGACAAGGAATCTTGTGCGGGTTCCAGGACGTTGCAGCTCGCCTCGATGGATGATCCGTCGACCCAAGTGTTCGAGATTGAGTTCAACTTCTTTCTTCATGTCGGGTCTTAGTTGCAGCTTGGATGCCAACTCCATTAGGTCCGCCTTCTTGTTCATCTCTCCAACTTTGTTGTCACACTCCAGCGCCACGACCTTGATCTCTTCAATGGCCTGTGCCAAATTCGCCTTTTCTTCGGAATCCTTAACCATGTTCTTGTGAACAGTCGCCAAGAGAAGAGTGTACCGCTGGATTCTGGTAATCGGAGCTTTGAGGAAAGTATCCCAGCTAAGGCGATTTGATAGTTTGTGTTCCCGGGCTTGGTTCAGGAACTGCTTGAAGTGCGGGTTGCGCTCAGCCTCCTTGCGCATAAGATAGTTTGCCGTTGGGAAGGTTGCAGCATAGTCGATGTATACATTCTTAGCTTTGCGAATCCATTCCCGGAAGATGTCACTAAATCCAGAGATGAAAGGCCCTTGTTCTTTTTGACGGTATTTAAGCTGTGCCAACAGGAAGTCTTCGTTGACTCTCTTCACAGAATCGACCTTGCCAAACACGTCGGCCAGGAATTTGGGCAATCGCTTAGCAGGGATGATCGGAGGATTCAGCTTAGCCAATTGATCACGATAAAGTTCTCGTAGGACATCCAGTTGGCCGATGTACGAGTCTTCTGTAGTGACAATTTCGTGCAAATTGTTCTGTCGATCGACTTCTTTCCTTGGATGGGCTTCCCATACCTCCTTGGGTACCTTGTAGAAAGTAACCCAGTCCTCGATTTTCTTCTGCGGTGCCATCGTCTGTGCCTTGAGGTTGACCTTCTTCAATGTTCGCATACAGTGATGCGAGTAGCATCGACCGAAGGTATCAGTACCCTCAATGTGCATCTCGTGTAAGTGCAGCCTGGGCGAGTAACATCCAGTGCCAGTGATCTGGAACAAGATACCCGAAAGAGTGCCTGAGCCAAACTTGACCCATTCTTCTTCTTTTACCAAGGCACCTTCTTCAAGCATACCGCTCACAACTCGAGCAGCAAGCGTCTCGGCATCAGCAATGTTCATGGTGGGTACTTTGTGGGTGAACAACGCGACCATGGCATCGGCAATTGCTTGCTCCCTGAGATCTGTTTCGTCCTCGCTCAGATCTTTAATCCAGGACAAGAGAGAACTCAAAGCCCACGGCTCGCTACACTTCTTGAATTGTTCCGATGACAGCTTCGCGGGATGGAACTTCTTGCGCCGGCCAGCCGGGATGCTTGGCAGATCCAGCGTCATAGCTGCTGCCGCCGCCGGCGGATCTATATGCGGTAGGTCCTTCTGCTGAAGCTGCAAGTGAAGTTCCTGCTGCTGCTGCCTGTATCTCAGCCGGTCCGCATCGGTCTTCGATCTGATAGGCGCATCAGTACGAGGCCCAATAGGGGTCGACAAGGATGACGACCGCGGAACTTGGGACGAGCTCAGCAAAGCGTCGCCATAAGAATCCACAGAGGTCGGCAAGGAGGGGTTGTTATACTGTGAATAACTATCCAAGTCATCCTGCTGCTCCGAGTGGCGGTTATATGTGCCCGCAGGCATCAAATGTGACACAAGATCAACATTACCAGCTGGCTCGACAGGTGCTGGTGGCAATGGACGCATCCCAGGGTGGAAAAACAGATCTTCGTGTCGGTGGGGGCTCTCGTCGTCGGATTGATCTCCAGAATGCGTCTGATCATATGGTGATTCTCCTTCATCGCCATAGTCAAAGCTCATCCTTCGGGCATAGGCATCGGGTGCCGATAATCCTCCTGTACCACTGGCATCTACCCTGGCATCGGCCGGCGTATGATGGAGGCGTCTGGCATAATCATATGCAATAGGCGGATGCTCGTATTCATTATAATACTCACCACGCTCATCGTGCGGCAAAGAGCTTTTGAATGAACCAGATGTGCCTGGAAATCTGTTGCCCGCGGCAGGGTCCGAGTGCTCTTCCGGACTGTAAATACCATAGTGCACGTTTGCTTGGTAGCCCCCTTCGTCCTGCGATAGGTCGCGACCAACTTCATTGAAATCGGAGAGTGGTGAATGCCCTCTCGGCGATATATCGGATCCACGTGAGCTGCGAACCGAGGTATTGGTCTCACGTCGCATCCGCCCTTTCTCGCGCTCTTCGCGAGCTATGTCTTCTTGCAACATGATCAAACCAGCAGCAGCCTCGGGGTCGCTTTCGTCGCTGTAGGCATCATAATTCACCATATGCTCCGTGCCTGTCTCCATGTTACCATTGGTGTGGGTGTGTTCCTCATCAGGCGAGAAGTGCATTCGTGAAGCAGAGCTAGCATGGGAAGCTCTAGAACTGTGACGCCGGGCAAAATTTTGAGGGTCCAAGGCTGCCGCCTCATCCTCTCTCAGCACATCTTCATATGCCATGGGAGCTTCCGCTGACCAGCGATTGCCATTTGCCCCGGCTTCATCGACTGGAGGTCCAGGAAGAGGTCGTGACTGAGGGTGTCGAGTCAAAGTGTCAGTTCGCCTCGGTGGGTGTTGGGGCAAGTCCAACTGCATAGGGGGTGTCGGCAGGGTTCGCCCTGGCCCGGAATGAGATACACTTGGCCGCTTGCCGTATAGGCCATTTGCTTGAGTCTGATGAACTGGAGGCATCGGAGGCTGCTCTTCGAAGGAACTGCTTGGGATCGCCGGGGTGTACTGGGGAGACGGCAGTTCATATGCAGCAGCCCCTTGTGAGCTGCTGTAATAAGGACGTGATGTAGGCGGAGGCATATGCATTATGCCCGGGGAGCTCGACGGCACATAAGAAGGCGATGGGTTCGGTGATATGGGTTGGTATGAACGTCCTCCATACGGATGATCAGCACCCCTCGGCGGTGGAAGCGGTGGCTGTTGAGAGGAGAAGCCGTACGATTGTGGAGTCGGCGGTGTCTGCCCGTAGTGTGAAGCTGCGCTCTGCCTTCTGGGTAGAACTGGAGAGCTCAGTCCGGACACTGAAGTAGATTGGTATGCCGCAGGATTATAAGGTTGATGGCCCGAGGCTGGAGCGGCGTAAGTAGCATTGCTGGAGCCAGTGTACGTCTGAGGGTTATAAGCGAGGACCGGTTGCGACTGCGTGTGTGGAAGGCCGTACTGTTGCGGGTTGTAGGCTGGCTGGGAAGAAGATGCTCCAGAGTATTGGTACTGATAAGACATGGTGGAGGTTTGCGAAGAGGCGCGAGTCGGAGACATACGCGACATGGCATCCGAGGAAGTCCGTGAATATCTTGAGTCTCTGTCATCTTCAAAGGCTCCCTGCACAGCGTTGTAGCCACCCTGTCCCGCACTGCCACCATAACCACTAGCTTGTGCTGAGTACTGTCTGTTTTCTTCGGTCGCTCTTATATTCTGGGCCTGGGCAGGGTTGAAGAATCCAGAATCATCCCCAGCATTGTAGCTCGGCATCCTTCGAGGCAGGTGCTGGTCCGGCGCGGGGTTTGGGGACGAATAAACGTCATAGTGGCCGGTAGATGGTTGGACAGAGGCTTGAGGGTCCGCAGATTGGCCATAGTATGCCTGTTGACCGTTTGGATATTGCGACATGTTTTCGGAGGGGTGGGGATCCGACTAGATATCGATTCGACTCGGGTCGCCTCGACGCGTTCCGGATTGCGCGAGGATTTTTTAGCAGGACCGTGGGGTCTAGTATCGGGCACTCAAGTGAATGGCAAAACGAGTGACTAGTTCAGAGCAAATCAGGCTGATTTGAATGAGGGGAACGACCACGCGGGCCGGTAACACGCTGCCAACGAGCTGGCTCTGGGCATCCCCAATGAGACTGTAGAGCGCGATATATTAGCCTTGGTAATAGAGACACCAAGTCCAGCAAAGATGCGAAGTCAGGAATTGTTTTGGGGGATAAGATGGGGTGTGTTGGGACATCAGCAGCGCACACGCTAGTCGAGGTACCGTCTCCACCGCCAACGGGGTTCAGCACCTGCCACGGCCTGCACTCTATTTTACGAGGTTGATATTGATCTGGACGTCCACGGACTCTGCTGCAAGTAGGTCCAATATTATTTTGAGCCTATGATGTGTAATCGTACATATATACGAGAGGTGTCTTTACCTTCAGCTTGTTACAATTTTGTTTTGATTCCCTAGAATCCGGTAGTGGTCCAGGGCCATACATTACGTACCAGTAGGTGCCCTCTTGTTTTTTCGCTACCAAATTATAACAAGGTCAAACATCATATATCTATTCTGAAAATGCACAAGATAGTAAAGCCCAATAGATAATAGGGGGCGATGAATCCTAGAATGTGAATAATCATGGCTCGTATCTTTTTCGGGGCAGGGCTGTGAGGCTGAGCCGTGTTTGGCCCCCACTATGTAGATTGCATCCACAACCACATATGCAGTGACGGGACTTAGGAAACAGTATATTATTTACGCCTAAAATGACTCCAAAGATTTGGGACTGGCATCTAGAATGGCTCAGGAAAATGCAGCAGCTGATAGTTGATATTATCGCTATAAAATTCACCCATTATATGGATAGAAACAAGCAAGCATCTTAAGTGCTAGAACTAAAAGGGAAAGAAACCAAAGGATTGGAGAAACCAGAAATACATTAGAACAGGCATAGCAACAAACACAACGCGCATCCTCAATAAGAAAAAGGGTCTGACTCGAACCACTCCAGCGAGACTTGGCTATTAAATAATTGCCACATCAGCGCATCATCAGGTGCATAGCTCCCATCACTGGGTGTCTGCAATTGCTGAGGGTTTCCTCCAGCGACAGAATCCATATATGGAGAGGCAGCCATCAAGAGATGTGCATGCTCATCAGTACTAGCCGGATGGTCGTGCCAGGTCCCAGTCATTGAAGGGTACAAAGTAGGGACTTTGACCTGCGGGCCCATGCGCTGTTTTGTTTCGATCAAGGGTACGCAGAGATTCTGCAAGTAGTACAGAAGTTTCAGCAGTTTTGAGATGTATGGACTGGCGGCGAACGGAGACAGGCTTTTCGTGATATCCTGCATTAGATTGTAGTCATCCACGTCTAATTCTCCAATGATGTTACAGAAGAGAACGAAGAATGGACTCAAGGGGTATAGAAGAACAGTCCTGAGAAAAATAAATAGATATTAGACGAAGAATTGGTGATGTTTGAAGTAGACCAACTAACCATGTTAGGAACGAGGGATAGGGATCCACAAAGCCCGGGATATCCGCGAGATTCGTCTGAAGGTGATGCAGTGCCCTCAGAGATTTGCGAGAATATGACACACATTCCTTATGTGTCAAAGGAGAAAAGGTACATTTTAAGCGCGATCGAAGAATATCAACCAGAATCGCGTAATAACAAAATTCACCCGCAATCCAATCCGCGGCGATACAATCTAGTGCTGAGGCTCGACTCTAGATAATATGTTAGCGTGGAGAAAGACAGGCCTTTGGTCAAACTCACTGATTGTAACCTTGAATGTATGACCTCCATCCGTTCTTGGAGTCTTGAATGATTGGCGATTATTTGGCGAGTGTTATCCGCATTTCCACAATCTAGCAGCTCTCCTTGGACCTGAGCTAAATCGAACAAGATTCGTATTAATGGGATGTGTGGCATAGATTGATCGGTACTGATTAGACTCGCGGGAGAGATGCGAGGCTCCGGCAGCGACAGTGGTCGATAAAGAAGGCTGCTCAGAGTTCGGTCAAGGTAAAAGCACCAACATACAGCGCTATGGGTCTCTTCATCGAGGCTTGAAATCCCAGGCGAATTGCGAATTTCATGATAACCCAGAGCAGTAATCAGACGAGCAGCGTATGAGTTGAGAATCCAGGACTGACTCATGTTGCCAAGATATTGCATAAAAAGTGCCTGCTCAAGAGTTGTCAATAAAAGATTGTCCGCACAACGAAGCATGATGACATACAGCGGATACCAACGACTGAATGAAAGGAAGAGTTGGGGCACTCAAGAAATTGAGCCGCTTGAGAGCGCGGAAGACATATATTTCATATAATTTCTTGGACTTCAAAAATTGGGCGTTGATGCGGGGATCTTTGTATGCTTTCGGTTTCTGGAAGAGGTGAAAGATGGCCTTCACATAAATGCATATACAATACTGGTAGAATATCTGCCCATGCTCAAGGTCATTGTCACTGAGAATGACTGAAGCCATCTTCTCCAGTGTTTTATCCGAGATGTGGTCCGGCCATTGTAGGGAACTAGAACGTCCGATGGCAGCGGTTGGCTCTGTATTACTATTAGTGTATGCGCAGAGAATGAATATCGCCTTTATCATACCTGGAAGAAGCATATAAAGCAGCTCTGGTGATGGGGTAATAAATGGACCAGCACGTTGAAAATCTTCATGCGCTTCTAACGGGGAAGACTTATCGGTAACTGAGGTTCTCCTCTGCCCCGTAATATCCACAAATTGCATGGCAGACCTAAGGATTGCCTTCCGTTCACGGTCCATATGCTCATTTCCATCAAGCTCCCCTTGTATAACGGCTCTGGCCTTCTCTGCATGGTGTATGGTCGGTCCAATGGCACACTCATTCTGGGCAGATTGGGAAGTGCCTTCTATGCGTGCGGGATGATCTAGTCTCCTCTTCCTTTTCGATGGCGTATCTCCGTCGTCAAGATCTGCAACATCTGATGGAATGATGTTTTCGATGCCCCTAATCGGTCAATCAATGGGAGTGTGCAAGTAGAGAATAATGGCAATCATACTCTGAGACTGTTCTTTCCAGTGTTAACAATCTTTCCCCGATAGTAGATATACTATTAATTCCCGTAAGCATGGACCGATATACAGTCATATGAAACGTACCCCGATGATGGTTGCCGGCGAGGTCGTTGAGCTCTTGTACGACTACACTTCACGCCTGCATCGGTACAATTCGCACAATGTAGCTGCCTATCACAGCGGACCTATTCAAATATATCAGTCTATGGGCAGTAAATAGATGTGATGAACTTCTTTCACCTTTCTCGAGTAGCAAAGGTCACACTAATATCATCAGTATACGAATTTCGAAAGCCATGTGGTGCCACTCACAGCTCGCAGCACATTGTCATTCGTTTGATCATTCATTTGATAGAATCGCGGTCACTTAGCATTAATATTTACTAGTAAGAGGCATAATGACCTTTCACATTTTCAAGACCGCTCGGGGCTTGCGGAGGCTGCAGTGCCGCTTAGTGAGGGTCTTCAGAAACTAGTGTTCCTTTTTCGGTCGGAATGCCGACCGAATCGGGAAGTTAGGTGGACACTACCTATTATTAATTCAGTAGACTAACTAGTTAACTATTCGTTTCATTACAACATGCTTTTGATATTTATTGCCGGTGAGTGCGTCGTATTTGTAAATTCGAGTTATATCGAATTGAGCGTCCAGTACGAGGGTTTTAAGAGACCATCACCACAACCAGTTTTCTTTCCCTGCAGAAAATCGTAATGTACCTGGGCATGATCTCGTACTCCGGAAGAATTCAAGTCGCTTTTTTCTAAGCGGCATGAAACGTGTCTACCTTATGATGAAATTAAGGTTATCAATCAAACAAAGCCTCCGGAGCTCGAAAATGAGAAGGTATCATATTAGGTGCACGGCAGTGGCCGTCAAGTGATCTTGCTATGCGAATATAACTGATAAAAAGCGCACAATAAAAAGTATAAGCAGTAGGGTATATAGCAAAAAAAGCAAAACATGACCTGGGCATATCATAGAGATATTCATAACCGAAATGAAAATGTTAGCCCGGCAAAAAGTACCATGATATAAATAAGGTCTGGTACTCAGGTCATACAAATCAGCAATCAGAGTTGACAAGATGGGAAGGCAGAACTGGGAAAGATGTTTCGAAACCGTGTCACTTGGCAAATAGTAATATCACTTTCCATCGTAGATTTGGTCAGGTGCGAGTGAGAACTGGCCTTTCTGGATCTCTCTCGCATCAACATGGTCTGGCTTGATGTATCTCGCAGTCAAAGCAAAGCGCAACTTGCTCTCGGGCACCACGGAATGCTATACCAGTCAGATCTGATGTTCAGTGCAGGTAAAGTTGAGAAGAGCCACAAACCTCGTAGTACTTCTGGAGATTTTCTCCGTGCATGACAACCAGATCACCATGATGAAGTTCCATCTTGATGGTAACTGGGGCCTCTTTTCCCTTGCGGCCCATCGATAGAGCACGACGCGAATGGTCATACTCATCCTGCGAGATCTCGCCAGCGTCAAACTCTTCCTTCAGTGTCCGCCGTTCGTCCTCAAACATGCAATCTTTTAGAACAGGATCATCTTGCAGAAGAGTCCCAATTTGCTTGGGCTCAGCCCTTCGGGTAGAGCCATTGAAATACTTGTACTTCATGCGGACGAACATGGTTGCTTTCGCTCCAAGAGACAGTGTGGCGATACTGGGGCCGAGCGAGGACTCGCCGTCATCGTGGAACTAAGAGGAGATATTTTAGCCTAGGCCATTGTCAATTTCACAAGTTTGACTTACTCCGATCTTCATTTCCTCGAAATAACCGAGCGTCAGTAACTCATTTGGAGGCAGGTATTTGTCTCCAGAAGAGATGACTGCTTTTTCAGTTGCCCACGACAAACGACCTAGAGCTTGGAGCATGTCGTTGGGTGCTTCATCGAAGCCCTTGGAATCGACAGACACGACATATTTGTAGGGCATACCCTGCATCATTTGGTCAGATGAGATGGACATCAAAATGTTAAGATTGTCTCTTCACTTACGTAGTTGACCGCGAAATGTGAGGTCAGCGTACCCGCAACTGTTGAAATGTGAGAGACTACATATCTGTAGCTTGTATCTAGTTCACTTACCCAGACTGGACTGGAGCCGGAATCGTTTGAGACCAAGATCACCACGTTGGAGATTGATGAAAAGGTCATCCGGTCCATTCGCGCGGCTATTGATTGTTTTGTTGGACACGAAGTGGGTAATTGAGCCAACTCCATCGAGTTTGTAAGTCAGCTTCCGGTAAGGGAAGAAGGTATTGTCGTCAATTTCTGGAATGCTGAATTTCCGGTCAAAAACAATTGCTCGCTTGATTGGGGCCAGCTCGAAATGATCGAGGACCACCCGGAGCGAAACGGGGTTCATGTTCATGAACTTTTGAAACGGGCAGCTTTTCGCAGACCCCTCCCCGATAGAGTCATCATCGCATTTCCAGCCTTGCCAGAAAGTTCGCCGGATACATTTGAAACACATAGGACACACGATTCCCTTCCATGCGATACGAGATGTGCTAACATCCGCGGCATTCTCATCCAGTGTGGACAGAAGATCCGGAACTAGACTATAGTGGGGTTGGATTGCTGGGTCCGGACGACTGCGAAAGCTCAGGAAATCAGGATTGAAAGTGAGCTCAGCGGGAGGGGAAGCGTTCTCGATCTTCCAGAAGTCGACGCAACCAGGGTCAAGGCACATCCACCCATCCTCATACAATCGAACACTTTCCGTAGAGCATTTCTCACACTTGAGAGTCTCAGGCTTTGTTTCAAAGTCCCGTTCATCGAGAGGCACCAGAGGGAGAGAGTCCTTGGCCGCCCACCAGCTCTTTTCCGCCAGATTCAGTTTCTCAAAGCGGACCTTCACTCCGTGTTTCTGGCCGATCTTTTCATACCAGACATTGGTGACACGAAACCAGTCCATAATGTTGTACCGATGCGGAAGGTCTCGGTTGAGAATCTTGTTCTTGCTCCCTATAACGGTGGTCAGCGGATTCCTTTTTCATACAATGTTTGATGAATTACCAATAACAAGGCCAACAGCAAGCCTTGAGTTTTGGCTGGCGATGATACTCTGGACAAGTGCATTATCTGGGTCTTGGTTCTTTTCGAGGGTCAGGTTTCCCCCCGAGTCCTTGGTGCAGCATCCGCCGCTGACAAAAGTTAGTAGACGCAGGTTATTATTCTGGACACACAATACTTACATTCTGGTAATGATAATTTCCTCGTCGATATAAGTGCGGCTACCACCGTCAGCATCAATGAGAAAGCCATAGCAGAAACCTTCACTGTGATACATTGCACCTTGGGTGCAGCGAAACCATGGAATCGCATCACAAAGTTGTTGACGACCCTGGCGAAGTCTTCAGTACATATACCATATAAATTACAAGATATTAGTAGTGACGTACCTCTGACCAGGCCGGGGGTGCTCCATAAACCGGCTCAAGAACTTGATCGTTGACAGCGGCTTCCAGCTCATCCGATGGGACTGTCTGGTTATCAGCGTGCTACATTCCATAATAAAAAGATAGCAAAGTCATTGTCACCTTTGATGGCTTGTTCTTTCTTTGTTTTGGCGATACGGCTTGCTCGCACTGGTCTTTCAACCGCCTGGCGACGATTGACAGTAGGGCGTGGCGCCATTTTTCACAGCTCGTTGTGCAATCAAACTTTTGCCATGAATTAAGTAAGTATTATATCCAGGCATCCCCTAGTAGAGATTTAAACTGCCAACAAAATCATATTTGGTGGTGCAGGCCGATAGTCAGACTCACACTGTAGAGGGCCCAATGGCATCAGATAAGGTGAATTGGGGTTTCAATTGTGCTCAGTATAATTTTTAAGACAGTAATTAGCCTCGAGTAATCATTCAATGCTCGAAAGAGATGAAAAGCATCAGATGATGGGATGAAGTGAGAGGTGGGAGGATGATGGAGCTGGGAGGGCTCAAGATATATTTTGCCAGAGCGGCGTCGAGGTCGGGGTGAAGCCGGCAGTAAACTTAGACATCACGTTACAAGATGAGCTAATCTTGAGGGAGTTGATGGATTTGTCAATTGAACTTCAAATTACAAGCAATGGCATTATGTTAATTTGGCGTGAGATGGACACCAAGAAGACCCCGAGATTGATAACACAATGAGAGCACCTAATCCACGAGGCCCAGACACTTGACTACTACCTAGGTAGAAGCCCATTAGACTTATCCTAGGTAGGAGATGCTCGATTATCGGTAGCGTGTATATGAACTGGCTGCTGAAATGTGGAATTGATGGGCTAAATGATCGACCATATATGACATGCAGGTGATTAACAATAATATGTGAGCCATACCTAAGTACTTCAACCGCACGTGCCACAGGACAATACCTCATATAGTCTTTATCGGAAGATTGGTCATACTCTGTCGTGTCCCAATTCAAATGAACGGTGTCTAATGTCGTCATTTCGCCCATGAAGGAATGATAGTAACCCAGCAGTTTTGGATATACAGGTAGGGATTATATGGTATATCAATATGGAATGTTCATATATTGTTACAGCGCAGGGTTGCCAGGCTTCAAAATCCACCTAGGTACGAAACCCCAAGGCTAGGACAAGAGGGCAAAGAAGCCCTTAAAGATACTTCTTTCTATACCCGTATGAATTGGAAAGATGGCATGGCATATAACATTGACAATTAGGGAAGGTGCCAGGGACCTGGGCACTTTAGGAAGGTACGTGGTTGGAGGGTATACAAGGACTCCTCCCACCTTTCTTCCTCTTTCTTCTTCCTCTCTCCAGCCCTCTCGACCACCGTCTCTCCGTAGCCCCCATGAGATCGTGTAGAGAGGCAAATGGCCGTGCATTACCTATACATGAAGATGTCAATATTACTAAGGTTTTTGAGATCCATATAGTCTACACCCAAATCAAACCAGGCTTTCTCGTGGAAGTTCTTTGAGAAAGTCGTGGCTGAGCATTTGGGCTCCATAGCCACTTCACGAGTCCCGCGGAATACATGGGGGGTGTTAATCACATCCTCTTTTATTATGCAGCTAGTCACCTAGGTAGAGGTAGTCACCGAATACATTTACAGCCCATTCGTCTTATCTGTCCTATATATTGAAGCATTATTTGGTGTACTTCGGACATAACGGAGTACATATTTAATTATTACCCAAAATGTGTCAAGCTGTCATTTCATTCTGTACATACATTTCAGGAAAAGAGATGTCGGTATAGTTGAAGTAATTCCGGCACAATCTAAAAAGGGAAGCCAATAGGGATTTAGTGATCTGCACGCCAAGGCCACTTTAAATCTTTGCAAGCATTCTGTTTTTGAAATTTACGGAGACAGACGCCTGGGTTTCTCGGGATAACTCCGGCTTCCTATAGATCTGCTCAAATTTCCAGTGAAGGCAATTGAACTTAGCATCGAATGCAGCATGTCGATCATACCCTCGGATATGAATAGACCGAGGCATCTCTGCTCTTGGCAACATACACTCCACAATGAGCTGCTAAGCACGCGAAATATCCACCGAGCTGAAGGAAACTTCGGTCGGCTACCCAATTAAAAGCAAGAAGTTACTCGGTAGCTACCTAGGAACTGGCGGTATGATATTGGGGATTCTCGCCTGGTTTGCCGATTTCCCCGCACCCGCCGCTTTTCATAAATCTCCCCTCAGCTGGTCATTGCCTGTCTGTAACCCCTTGCTTATTCGCACTCCTACCACTCTAAATTGTGAGTAAAACTCCAGTTCACCTGGCTGCAGCTAACATTTTAAAAATAGCTGACATCACCTGAGTTTCCTAGTTTTGTGAGATCTACCCCGATATTATACCGACATCGCTGCGACTACGAGAATTTGGGAAAAGAAAAATGGTATTCTCGCCTGCAAAGGAGTCCGGCCAATTGGACCCAGTTCCCGACAGTATCCCAATCAGCGAGTTTATGCTCAATGAGAAATATGGACGAGTGCGACACGCCAGCTCCCGGGACCCATACACATGCGGCATCACCGGGAAATCATACTCGTCGCGAGAGGTAGCCAATCGCGTTGACTCGCTAGCTCGTAGTCTTTCAAAAGAATTTGACTGGGCGCCGAATGAAGGGTCGGAATGGGATAAGACACTGGCCGTGTTTGCCCTCAACACCGTACGTGGAATATACTGTATCAAGAAGAATAACAAGGAGCTTATTCTTTTGTTTTGCCGATTAGATCGACTCCTTGCCCCTATTCTGGGCCGTTCACAGACTGGGCGGTGTTCTCACTCCCGCCAACGCAGCTTACTCCGCCGAGGAGCTGACACATCAGCTGCTTGATTCCAAGGCCAAGGCCCTGGTTACTTGCGTTCCTCTCCTCTCCATCTCATTGCAAGCTGCAGCCAAAGCCGGGCTGCCGAGGAGCAGAATCTACCTACTTGATGTACCCGAGCAGCTTCTTGGCGGCGCGAAGCCTCCAACAGAATACAAGTCCGTTTCCCAACTCATCGAGGCTGGAAAGTCTCTGCCGCCAGTTGATGAATTGCGATGGAGCCCGGGTGAGGGAGCGCGACGAACAGCATTTGTGTGCTACTCGAGCGGAACTTCTGGATTGCCGGTAAGCAATGTGCTAACAGCTTGAATAACACTTTCGCTAATAACGTGCTGCAAAATAGAAAGGAGTCATGATCTCACACCGCAACGTGATCGCCAATACCCTTCAGATCAAGGCATTTGAACAGAACTATCGGGATGGTGGGGGCACAAAGCCCGCGAGTACTGAGGTTGCTCTTGGTCTCCTTCCGCAGAGCCATATCTATGCTCTTGTCGTCATTGGCCATGCTGGCTCATACCGAGGCGACCAAACAATCGTTCTCCCCAAGTTCGAATTAAAATCTTACCTGAACGCCATTCAACAGTATAAGATCAGTGCGCTCTTCCTGGTGAGCATGCCTTCGCTGATGAGAAGGTGCTGTCGAATGCTGACCACAGCCATTTAGGTACCTCCGATCATCATTCACATGCTGGGCACTCAAGACATGTGCTCCAAGTATGACCTGAGCTCCGTGAAGTCTCTGTTCACGGGAGCGGCACCCCTGGGCATGGAGACAGCAGCCGATTTCCTCAAACTCTACCCTAACATTTTGATCCGCCAAGGATACGGTATGTGGTTATTGGCGCTTTAATATACACAGAGCTGACATTTTCACGCATAGGTCTGACAGAGACATGCACGGTCGTAAGCTCGACCCACCCCCACGATATCTGGCTCGGATCATCCGGCGCCTTGCTCCCTGGGATCGAGGCACGCATTGTGACGCCCGAAAACAAGGAAATCACAACGTACGATACGCCAGGTGAATTGGTGGTCCGAAGCCCAAGTGTCGTCCTGGGCTATTTGAACAACCAGAAAGCCACCGCAGAGACATTTGTGGACGGATGGATGCGTACCGGGGATGAGGCTGTCATTCGTAAAAGCCCAAAGGGCATCGAACACGTGTTTATTGTCGACCGGATTAAGGAGTTGATCAAGGTCAAGGTTTGTGATGGGACCGGTTGATAAAAAGATTCGCAGTCTAACACGTCATTCCTAGGGTCTGCAAGTCGCACCTGCCGAACTCGAAGCCCATATCCTCGCCCACCCTGATGTCTCGGACTGTGCCGTTATCGCCATTCCGGATGATCGTGCAGGAGAAGTTCCCAAGGCCATCGTTGTGAAGTCCACCACAGCAGGATCAGACGAATCAGTCTCCCAAGCTCTCGTGAAGTACGTTGAAGACCACAAGGCTCGTCACAAGTGGTTGAAGGGAGGCATCAGATTTGTTGATGCAATTCCAAAGAGCCCGAGTGGTAAGATTCTTCGCCGATTGATCCGTGATCAAGAGAAGGAGGCACGGAGAAAGGCTGGCAGCAAGATCTAAAAATGTTGGGGGTCGCTTTGATTAGAACTTGGTCTGGAAACTTGGGAACCAATAACCATTTTTGGCTTGCACTGGAAGTACATATGTAGATACGTGATAAAAAAGGCACCTCAACTGCTGTGATCAGAAGAGTATGTAGGTCCACCGGTAGGTACTCCAAAATTTTCAATATAATAGCTCATTTATTGTATTATTTACGCCAATAATTAGTCTCATTGACGTGTAGGTTTAAAATGAAGATGGATGGACGTGTCGAAATCACTGGTCTATGAAGCCTTTGGAATTCGATTGCCTCGTCAGGTAGACAGGAACAGCAATATTCCTTCACTCATTATCCGCAACATTGAGAGATTCATCTGTCCGATTAGGTACAGGCACCACTAACGAGAGGTGTTGGTGGTCGAAAGTGACACTGTTGGCTTTGGGTATCATCAAATTAGCCCTGAATGGATGTTATGTTATTTCAAAGCATAAGTAACAAAGGTTTCAGGCCACGTGGCCATCCTTGTCTCCATGAGAGGCCCCTTCAGGGACTTCCTGAGCAGTGATCTGTTTTATCAGGATTTGATCAACTCCAGCTGCAAGGCCACGGCAAAGCCCAGACCAGGACTTGCGTTTGGAGAAAATTTGGCCCACCTCGGTGAGCAGACGCAAGGAACTTGCTTTGCCCGTCAGATTGCCGACCCCAACCAGATTGAGCCGAGTATTTGGGCCTTCAGCAATCCAAATTTGAATTTCTCTGGTGTCTAGCAAGCGAACATCCCTGGCTGAAGCTTGCGGCTTTTCCATTTCAGGAGCGACCACGAGCGCATCGAATGCCCATATATAGAGGAAAGCAATCAGGAAACAGAGAGGATCATGACAGGCAAATTTGTGCTTGGCTTTCAAGGTGCTGTAAACACATACAGCATGCCACAGACATTTCCGGGCACTAGATGCATTGTTTTCCATCCAATGTTTCAGAATATTTCTTGATGTATCGACTTCGACGTCCTCGTCGTGCCACCCTGAAAACGACTCGAGCATCTGAAGCGACACCTGCCGGAGAAGGCATAGTATATGATGGATGACATCTCGAGCGGCAATATAGTCTGGTTTGGCTGAGGTGGGAATGGCCGCGAATACTTGGTCCATCGAGTGGAACATCATTGCGCGCAGAGCTGAAGGGGTTGATGTAAGATGTGCCCATTGCTCCTGAACTGGCATGCCAGTTAGGCTAGATTTCCAGATGGAAGAAAATGACATTTTGTCAAGGAACAATCTCTCCTCGCTGTAAAGAGACAGCATGTAGAGATTTCGGCGATATGCATCCATCCCTGCCATGGTTTCACTGGCTTTCCTGACATCAAGTTGTGTTGGTAGAGATTGTGGTAGATCTAAAACTTATGGTCAGTCCCGAGAGATCTGGTTGATGAGAGATAAAATTGACTCACTTTGATCAGACTGGTACACATGGACGAAATTGTCAGCATTCCTACGACACCACAGTGATTGGCGGCAGGGAAACTCCTCGGGGAGTTCATGCTGCCCAAATATCGGCTGACGATCAAATAAAATGAGCTGAAGACATTCGAGTTCTGGCAAAAGATTAGTCGGGCTTCATGGCTTTTCGCAGGTGGCACACACGAAAGATACAATGAAGTAGACGTATGCGAGATTCTCTTGCCAGCCAGGCTCTCCAATGTCTTGGAGCTTGTGACGTCTTCGTTTTCATGCATTGATCGACCTTCAAGGCACGAGCTAATGTGACAAGTACATTTCGCTCATACTGCAGCTTGAACTGCGCTTTGTGCGACCCGCCAAACATCCGGCAGACGTCACTAAGAAACACACTTTGTGCATAGGATAAAGTTGTTGATTCGGGTGATTGAGGTTGCTAATTTGATTAATATGAGGTACGGGGCCGCACCGGAGATGAACTTACGTTTTGTGCTATTGCCTGACACAGTATCTCTCCGAAAGATGCTGAAAACTGACTGGCATTTCCGAAAGCGCTATATTGACTCCCAACAGTGACCACTGCTAAAAGTACCATCCATGAGTCTTTGTCATGCCCGAATTCTAGAGCATATGGGTGGATCACGGGGTATCCATGGTCAAAGTGTTCAAAATACAAGTGCACGAAGTCTTGGATGACCCTCCACCATGGGAATGTCGCATCTTCTGTTTCTCCCAGGCTCACAAGATATGATTTAAGTGTCTCATATATTGAGGCGTTGGTCATCACACTGTAGCGGAATTCAGGCAACAGGAAGCGCTCATCTGAACGCCGCATTTTGGGAAGTGACGATTTCAACTGGCGGGTTGGCTTAAAAGAGCTGACTGCATCAGGAGCAGAAGGGGCAGCAGGGGCAGCAGGGGCACGAGCACGAGCACCCGAATCTGGGACACGCGGACGAGGAGCCCGGGGACGTGTAGTATTAGCAGATGGTCTTGCTTGCGATGTTAGGCCATTTCCATCATTTTCTGAGTCATCTGATATTTCCATAACATAATGCGAGACATCGATCTGATCCTGTGCAGTGAGGTTTGTAGCAGGCAGTGCCAGGCCTGGAGTACTCTGGTTTGTTCCATCTTCATTCAATGAGGAAGGTGATGTACGTATGTTTGATGGGATGGAGCTCGGATCTTGAAGATTCGGAGATGAAGGACTCGTCTGGTCCGACGGCTCTGTTTTTATATGTTTTCCTTCATGGTGCTTCTTCAAATGAGCTGCAAGCCTATGCCTTTGCTTGGTATCAGAATTGGAACAATGGATGAATAGGAAGTGGCCGTAACGTAGAGACTATGGTATACCTTCGAGTATAGGACTTTGGACAAAAGCGGCATTTAAACTCTTTCGACCCGGAGTGTCCCCGGTCATAGCACTGTTGCGTCAATGCTGTGCCGCACTGCTCACAAGTAAGATGGAGTTGCGGCCGACTATGAGTGAGGATATGGCGCTTCAGATGGTGTTTACGCCCGAATACCTTGTCGCATTGCTCGCATGGGTAAGACTCCTGCAAGGGGTTCATAGCTTCTTCCCGCTTTCAAACACCTAGGTAAATCAAAAGAATCAATGCAACTTGCAATTAAACAGTCTACAACCAAGACTGTGGCCATATATGCATAGAAAATCCAGCAAATCCATCAAACGCCTACAACGATGCTATTTCGTGTTTCGCGTTGACGCAAAAGCGGTCACTAAAGCGGTAAGGAACAGAGAGTAATCTGCCGCGGGGTGGTGGATTTCTAAGCGGGGAGGTAAGAAAAAAGATCGAAGGCATTTCAAGTTACCTTAACAATCGGCTTCTTGCTTCAATATTGTCTGGTCATATCAAGAGTGACTGGTCATAAATCACTCTTTCAACATCATATCTTTCACCTTCCATCTCCGACCCATTGAAAAAATAAAATGTCTTCAACCGACCCGCATCGCGAGAATGAGGAGGAGTATATACAAGCCGATGATGCCGAAGAGATCTTTGATCGTGATGAGGATCACCCTATGTCAGACGGAGAAGGAGAATATGACGACGAGAACATGACTATCGAAGATGAGATCACCTTCCAAAACGACTCAGCGGCACACTTCGACTCGCACTCAGACTCTGTGTTCTGTGTTGCGCAGCACCCGGTTCACAACAACATTGTCATGACCGGTTCTGGCGATGACACAGGCTACATCTTTGACTCGACTCCCGCACCGCGTCCAGTGTTCCCATCCAGCTATGAATCAAACCCTCAGCCAAAAGAGCGCGAGTCTCTCTTGCCTCTGGCCAAGCTCGACGGCCACACTGACACTGTGAATGCCGTGGCTTTCACTGAGCCGGCGGGAGAGTATGCCATTACGGCGGGTCTGGATGGCAAGCTGCGAGCTTATCGGGATATCACACCCCAGAAGACAGGACTCGCATGGGAGTTCTTTGGTGAAGTCCAGGAAGTGGAGGAGATCAATTGGATGGCCGTGTGTCCCTACCAGAGGGGAAATGAAGCGACGCAGAATGTTATTGCCATCGGTGCCAATGACGGCAGCGCGTGGGTCTTCCGTATCGATCACACCGACCCCGGGCAGCCTATCTCCATCATTCAGACCTTCTTCTCCCACACCGAGTCATGCACCGCAGGCGCATGGACGCCTGATGGCAATCTGCTGGCAACTGTTTCTGAGGACGCCAGCTTCTTTGTTTATGACGTCTTTGGAGCTGCTGCCGCCGCTGGCATCGAGTACTCCCAAGGTACCAATGCCATTCTTGGATTGAATGCGGAGGATCAGCGCTTCGCCGTTGAGGGTGGTCTTTACACCATTGCCATCTCCCCGAGCGGCGGCATTGCTGCAGTGGGTGGTGCTGAAGGCAACATTAGAGTCGTCGGCCTTCCTCGGGTCACGGCAAGTGCCCCTGCAGCCAAGGGTAAGGGCAAAGGCGCTCCATCCCAGGCAGCCGGCTCCACCGCCGCAGGCACTATCATGGCCGCATTGCAGACTCAAACGGACAACATTGAGTCACTCTCCTTCTCCCAGGCCCCGTTCACCCTTCTTGCTGCTGGGTCTGTGGATGGTTCGGTCGTTATGTATGATGCGGCTCATCGATTTGCGGTCCGTCGTCATATTAAGGATGCCCATGAGGGAAACGCCGTTGTCAAGGTTGAGTTCCTGCCTAGCAGCAAGCAACTCGGTGCAACTGTCTCAGGCCCCCTTGCCAATGCTTCCGCAGCCCAGCAGAACCGCTCTTGGATGCTCACGTCTGTCGGTCTGGACGGTGTGGTCCGACGTTGGGACGCACGCGGCGGCACCGCGGCGGCTTCTCAGGGATTGATGCGGGAGTGGAAGGGACACATGGGTGCCACGGAAAATGACGAGGGCGAGCAAGCTGGCGGCATTATGGGCTTCGTTCAGGGCTTGGATGGGAAGCGTATCGTTACTGCCGGTGATGATGGTATCTCGCTGGTATTTGAGGAGTAACCGGTGCAAACAAAAAGTTGGACGTCCGAGTCATGCATACATAGTAGGGGCTCATGTCGATAATGATATTACATGTTTATAGAATCTCAAAGCCAAACCAACCTTGATAACCAGCTCAGAACATACCACGGCAAAAACCCTGTAGAGTCGACGATCGAACAATAAAGAAACATCTGGTTGTAGTAATGGAACAAAAGCTATGTACATTCGACAAATCAAACCCAAAGCGCCATTTGGAAGCTACGCTCCTTATGAGCCATGAGAAGCTGCATCTCCGCCCTGACACAACAAAAGCTCCCGGACACGGCAAAGCTGTAGGCTCTATAATCCAAAGGCTGTGGTTCTCGCGGAGGCGAGACGACTCTTTCTTGTCGCCTGGGGTATACGTCCTCCGCTCGATGATCCGTCGGTCGGCGGCATTCTCAATTGGTCTCCAGACAACCTTTTAGTGGTGGCCATCACCGTGGTGAGTATCGCCGTGGTGGTGATCATCCTTCATGAAGAAGTGCTCGTATGTGCAGTAGGCAGCGAAAGCGACAGTCGCGATACCGAAGCCGGGGAAGAGACCCTTGAAGCGGCTGGCTCTGCTGAAGGGGCCAGTGTAGCGCCAGGCCTCACTGCATAATATTAGTGCCTACCACAATTGGCATCATATCGGTATCATTTGACATACTTGCGAGCCCATGGATCCCGCTTGGCCCAGACGGAAGATGGGGAGGCCGCGGCCTTGAACTGGGCAATGTCGAAACCGGTGGGGTTGCGTGCGGTCATTGTGGGAGTTGTCCGGTAGTAAATATCACTGAAAGACGGAAGTAAGGAGAAACAAGGTGTAAAGGGCTGTAACTTGGTCTCTTAGTCCGCAATCAACCGCAAAGTGACACAGTGAGGAGCCGAAGTTGAGGAAAAGAGGTGTGCTTGGCAATTACCCGCGCTAACCGAATACGGTAGACCAAGTAGCTCTCCCGCCTTCGAGGGACGAAACTGTCACTTCATCCATGCGCATCCTCGAGACAACAAAATGCCACCTCCCGTTGGCAGATATGGGCCATCTGGCTTAAACACCCCATACAACATACAACAAGCTCACCTTCAATCTCAACACCCCGCACACGCGCAGTCTGGAAATACGCTACCTCCCCCTTCCCTTGGCCATCCTGGCTTCGCGGGCAATCCGAATACCAACATCAACCCTTTTACACTGTCCGGCGGAATTGCAAATGGGATGGCGGTAGCCGGCTTCCCGGGAGCTGGTGCAGGTGATGGCGGCGGCACCGGTCTGGCTAGTCATGCGGCACAGATGGGATTCGCGCGCGGCGCGCAAATGCAACAACAGCAACTACACCAGGGTCACGACGGTCGGTTAGCACTCGAAGCAAAGGGCGGTGCAGTGAAGTCAAGAATTAGAGATGTCTGGAAGCACAACCTGGCCCATGAGATGGCGGTGCTGAGGCAGTTGGTCGACAAGTACCCTTATATCAGCATGGTAAGCACCAACTATGTGATGTCTCCGTGCGAAACGGAAATCTACTGCGAGTAACGTTTACTGACTAGGGTCTAGGACACCGAATTCCCTGGTATTGTTGCTCGGCCGATTGGGTCATTTTCGAACAAAGCCGATTACCATTATCAGACCCTCAGATGCAATGTCGATCTTCTGAAGATGATACAACTAGGCATCACTTTATTCAATGACGAAGGAGAGGTTCCCCCAGCCTCAGGCACTGATGCCAATGGGCAAGCGTATGGTGTGCCTGCTCCCTGCACATGGCAGTTCAACTTCCGATTCTCACTCGAAGGCGACATGTACGCCCAGGAGTCAACAGCCATGCTTGCGAAATCTGGAATCGACTTCGCCATGCACGAAAAGAACGGCATTGATCCTTTCGAATTCGGTGCTCTTTTGATTAGCTCTGGATTGGTGCTGCTGGATGACGTCCACTGGGTTTCTTTCCACTCCGGGTACGACTTTGGCTACTTGATGAAGATCATGCTCTGCTCCCAGCTTCCAGAAAACGAAGAGGAGTTCCACAAGCTTCTTACAATCTTCTTCCCGTCACTTTACGACATTAAGTACCTCATGAAGCACGCCGGTCGAAACCAAGCTGTCAACGGTTCTCCTCTCACCCAGGCTGCAGCACAGATTCTGGCCAACCTAGGTCAGAAATCTGGTTTGCAAGACATCGCCGATGAACTTGGCGTCAAACGCGTCGGAATCGCCCACCAGGCTGGCTCGGACTCCCTCGTGACCGGCGAGATCTACTGGAAAACACGCCAGCTCATTTTCGGAGGGGCAATTGACGAAAGCAAATATTCTGGCCAAATCTGGGGCCTTAACGGACAAATGCCTGCAGTGGCCTACAACATGGCCCAACAAACACCGAACCTCAATGGCGCGACCATTTACTCGGGCGGCACTCCCAGCACTCCCAATACTGGGTCTCACGGAGCCGGCGCCCAGACACCTCAGCACCATGGAGCTGGCTACAATGCCCCGACTCCCGGAGCCTATCAAATGGGCCGGGTATGAGGCACAGTCCCTGAAGCACCTGGGGTTGATGTGATATGATGTATGTACATAGACACGAGAATCGTGTTCTTTTTCTTCAAAATTCGGCATTGTCTTCGCACCTATGGCTTTGCGTAGGCTTCGTTGCCTGTGCCGAGATCTTGCGTCTAGACGACGGTGTTGGGCAGGAAGGTGCCTGGCGTTTGATATGGCTGGTTTTGAATCCATTTACAAGGCGTTGACAGGCTCTATTATGGCCTCGTGCCTTTCGTTCTTGTGATCTAGGTCGCTTTTTCTTTCTTGTTGTAGCTAGATCGGACATGTCTGTGTCCTATGTATAGGAAATTCTGGCTTCTGTTCGTTCAACTTGGCCTGGTTTGTAGATCCATGATCTTTTCCAGGTCGTCCCGGTTTACTTCGTATCACGATATGCTATCTGCTCGACATATCTACATATACACCGGATTTCAGGCCGAGCGAGATGGCTTTCCCTTTCCGTTTTAGTGCTCACCCCTAGCCGCTTTTTGCTCACTGAGTAAAACTGAGCACGCCCCTGAGTATTATATGATCGCTCACTGAGCATCACCTGATCATTACATAAGCTGGATGACTCGCTCATGACCGTCAAGCGTGACCTGAGCGCTCTGACTAGCTCACCAAGCACGACCTGATTATTACATAAGCTCAAGGACGTGCTCACTGAGCAAAGCGCGGGAGCAGCTAAGTCAGCAGCTCACCTCAATAAAATGCACCACGCTAGCCCCATCCAAATGCAGTTGTTCACTAGAACTCTTGACCGTTGTCCCCTCGACAAAGGCTGGTGTTATCAATTTGGCGGTCAGTCCTGGTTGTTTCGCCTCCAGCTAGGAGGCAAATTCATAGTGTGGCCATATTGGTTTTAGTATTCTACGGCTATACCACTATTCAACTCGCCGAGTCTCGCATCCACGATACCGTCTCTACATAGTTACGGAAAATATCAAACCCTCAAGTTTTAGTTCTACAATATCTAGGAATATCTCAGAGACCCCTAATTAGATAGTTTATAGATCTATTAGTGTTTTATTCTGATTTTTTTCGCTTGATTTTTAACGGATTATCGCTCTTACTACCTACCGTTTGCTCCTAGGAATACGACTTCAGCTCTAGCGAGCTGGACATCCACAAAAATATTCTAGACCTATCGATCACGTCTACTGGATGATCTAGCCGCCTATAACGTATGACGAAATTTGCGGCCCCTTATTTGCCTAACATATTCTAAATAGCAGTCAGAAAATACCTCATTCTAACTAAAGTCTGATAGGACTTCCTAGAAGCTCTCAGACCTTTCGAGCCACCGCAATGTGGTGAGACGAAAATATCCTAGGAGCTCAAGTTCTGGTACCCATTCGTGAGAACTGTGACTGCTAATGCTGAGAGTCAAAGTATATAAAAGAAACTTTATATTAGGAAATCTTCTAGTAGGTATAAAGCTACTCTATCGTCTTAATTGTAAAGATATTGTAAAGAAATACTAGTTGTCAGGCTAGTCCTGTTGGTCAGGCGAGTTGAACAGTGGGGGGAGAAACGTATGGTATTCTTTTTGCAGAGACTAATTCTTGCTAAGTCCAATTTCCAGGGGGAAGCACTCTTGTACCTCTTCGTCCCTGAATCGTCCTTGTCACGAAGATGTATCTAGCTATCCTCCGAGTCCTATTTCGGACACATATAGTGTTCAGGATGATCACATGGCCAATCCTTGGCGACCATCAAAGAAGCTCGGGACAAAGGAGTTAAATGTACATCAATATCCTGGAATCATCCCCATAACGCTTTTCCTTTACAGATAGACTAATTGTAGGTGCATAGCCTATTAACCGGGTAAGATACTATAGCTTAGGAGGGGAAAACAATATATTATTGTGATCCTATGACATGGATCATGGTGGGCATCTACATATATATGCCACTGCAGCAAGTCAGTTCCCATGAACTGACTTTGCTATGACCTTTTTGGTCTAATGGGTAACCGTGCGGAGCATGGCCCGCCGATCTCATTATCTAAAGTGCTAAGACTAATTTGTAAAAGGGTAAGAACCTAGCACATACCGCAATAGCTAGATCAATCGGGAGAGTATTAGTAATAAATACCAACGCTCTACCAAAAAGACCACTATGTCAACCTCTTATGGTTGACATGCCAGGTTATTTATCCATTACATAATTCTTATTAGAATTAAGAGGGACCCTAGGGAGTCTAAGACTATATAGAATCCGTCCTATTAATATTAACAGACTTATTAATTTGGTCCGCACAAATTGTCAAATCCGGACAGTTCATTTTTGCTTAGTTAGAGAGTTTCACTATCGTGGTTTTTACCAGTACGCTCGCCATACCTTGTTTCGTCACCGTGGCCTACCTAAGGTCACCCGACCATCCAACATATTGACAGCCACACTTCATCGTCACTTCCATTCATCATCAATTCTATTGATTTTTCTTTCGTTCTCGAAGTTTTTGACTCTTCCCCTCTCACACGGAAATGGATAAACAAACCCAGACCAGGCGTCGCGATGAAGTCAAGCGACTCTACAAGCTACTCAAGAGCTGTGAATCTTGGTTTCTTTCCCCCGGTGATCTCCAAGGCCTTGGAATCCATAGCCAGCAAGTTGGTATGACAGGTGACGGCTCTGTACAATTTGATCCATGTTTCTTTCGGCCTTATCCGGAAAGGGTGCTTCAAAGATATCCACTCGATACGGTGTCGATGGCTGCGGATCATCCTCCACAGACTCTTCAACGGCTCAATAACCCCCGGGACTTCCAGACTCTGTTACGAGAAGTCCAGAATGACCCTAAGGTCGAAAATCCCCTGGAATCCGCCGGATCAAGATGGGATACATTGACACTTTTATATGGGCCGGATGCCTGGGAAGATCATGCCAGACAAACACGTTGGCATATTCAATCCCAGCAGACGCTTCCTCGGAGAGGGCTTTCCCGGGACTCTACTCTCAGCAATCTAAGATCTATCTACGAACGGAGGTTAGTACACTTTGCTTTTTCTCTTTTGCTCTGCTGTTTTTAAGGACTAAATATACTAGGACGAAATGGAAGCATAGCGCTCCTGAACTATGTGGACTTAATAGAAGGAACTATTGGCGCATACTAAGTCTCCGAGAAATTTTCCGGCCAAGCTTTAACCCACATGCAATTATGGAACTTTTATCCGATGTTCCCGCAAATCACGCAGAGAATTGCCTTACTCTCCAAGAAGTAAGCGCTGTTCTAACCGTGATGGTTGCTCGAACATCCGATCGGCCGTTCCGGGACCACCCGATCCATCCAGTCAGTGTCGTACTTACACTTCCCAGCTACTGGAGATTTCCTAGTCACTCACTCATTTTTCATAGTTATTGGTTCTTTCATACACGGGACAGAAACATGGAAGAATAATTCAAGCTTCATTACATGGAGAAAGCTTGCTTTTGCAATATTCTCAGCTATGGAGTTTTGCAGATGACGAAACGGCACCAGTTGAACTTTTCGTTCGTTATGATATGAGTCAGCCAGTTCCGATAGCCTTGGAAGAGCCGAATCCTTTCTTGTCGGCCCTGTTACGTCTATGAGCTTGAATTAGCTATTTAATATGACTGCCCTATCAGGCTTGCTACAAAGACATGAGGGTGGAGAGTGAGCTATAGACCATGGGTTTTCAAAGGACACCTAAGGGCACATTTCGATTGCGATAAAAGGCACCCCGCACTCTTCAGCCAGAATGCTGAGGCACTACGCACGATAGCAGGGGTCAATATGGAATGTAATGATATCGAGAAGATGGTCGAGAAAGGAGAAGGAGAGAGCTGGCTAGACTATGGGAGATAAACACCGGGAAACTTCCAAACCATGTAAATGCCCATAAATTAACATTTGATGTAATTAACTAGAGGATGGTTGGGAAACGAGTGAGGCCAAATTGAATATGGGAGACATCGCGGGAAACCAGACAAACCATTCAAAGAGCATCCTGTATCAGAATTTCTTTCCCATACATTTGTTACTGCTGTGAGAATCGGACGTGAATCAAACAGCACAACCAATTATCATTAATTGAACTTACCAGCTACGAACATGCTTCAGTGACGAGAAGGATCGATGTCAAGGGAGAGTTTCTACAAAGATATGTGTACTAGGAGTATACAACAGAAGACGGGTTTTCAAAAAGACCCCGAAGGGCACAGCTCATTGAGGGTAAATGAGGCACACGGCCCCGGTCTGCAAAATAATCAAACAAACTAATTGTCAATCTCAAGTCTCTCCTTCTCATCCTCTGCCTTCTTCGCTGCCTTCTTCTGTCCTTCTTCTGTCCTTCTTCCTCAACAGCATCAGCCCATCTGTAACCATTGTTCTCGAGGTACCCGGTGAAGAATACATGTTTATCCCCCATCGAAGACGGAAGGGAGGGCGTCAACGTGGCCGCCAGCGACTCTCCCGTCTCCGAGGCAGCATCATCACCATGGCCAGACGTAGGGGACACTATCATGGAATTAGCGTATTGCAATTATGATCTAAATTTGAGCTCTGATGTCATGTATTCAGACTGGTTCAATGAAGATCGAAGACCTTTCCGTGACAACGCAGACCGAGTCTGAGTTTAGGTCTACGCTACATCGCCCCTGCCATTAGTCAATGAGCGAAGCTTCAACAGAAGCTTGCCTTGACCAAAGCTAGGTATTATGTACGCATTTCTGTTGCCAGGTTATATTGAACCAGTCCACCGGGGAAGAGTGATTTGTGTGAGCATCAAGCAAGAGGACTCACTGTTGGTATCTTCATCGACGACAGAGTCATTGTTGGCTGTTGGGTTGGTGCCAGTGTCCTTGTCATCGTCATTCTTGGTAGATTGCCCTTTAGTAGTATTAGTACAGTCTTTGACGACTGAAGAAGCTAGATTAAGACAACTCACCTGTGGGCCTTTTATTTCCGCGGTGCACCTTCTTGCGAACTCGCTTCAGCCCTTTCTGCACTGGTTTGTTTTTGACTATCATGCTTCCGCTTGATCCTGGCAGTTTGCTACATGAATAAGGTGTGTCAGTAATGACCTGGTTGCTTGCTATGAGACACGAGTAGCGTACGACAGCGGCACGGAGACGGGGGGTTCACGGTCGGAGCAGCAACGGCACTGCTAGGCTGAGAACCTTTTTCAATGCCTGGATACCAGCGGTATTCGCTACACCGAGTGCCACAACAGTGGGGCACTGTATTCCAGCAGGGTGGGTTTTGTCACAGAACGGGCAACACTATGGGATGTTAGAGACTGATTTGCTGTACTTTCCACTGGATTTGATGCACTTACGCCGGAAACATTCCTTGTGTCGGTGTTCTTCATCGTGAAGCGTGAGAGTTGAGAGGGGAAAGTGGTGGTGCGCCTCAGACAGTGCTTTTCAGTTATTTTCCTTCGCTGACATAGCCAAACCCCTACCTCCAGAGCTAGGTAGAATTGTCTGGCAAATCAATAGCATTCAACCATGGGAGTCTACATTCATGGGGTAGCCTCAGAATAATGTTCCCATTTAGAAGGCTCATTCAAGCGTAGATATCTCATTCAGAATTGGTCCAACGCCTCCCCAACACAATTCTGCAATTGTCCGTCGATTCAATAGCATTCAACAGCCCGGCCCTACGCATTTATACAGTAGCAACAGAACAATGTTCGTGGCAGTCTTATCCAATGAATACCCAATTAAACTGTCGTCCATTGGTCCCAAGGTTGCAGGATGATTTTTCTGCATAGATCAATACGACTTCATCTGGTGCCTCAATAAACCTGTTTCTCTACCTAGGTAGGTTTGTGTTGCTTTGTCAGCTCAAGACAATCGTTAATGGAAAGGCCACTCATTTCTCATCCTTCTCCCACAAACACTCATCGGAAAAAGCAAATTTCAAGTAACCATGGAACCCCCTCCAACACCCCGCCCTCCAGCACCGACGGTGCCGTCGACCGTCTATCAATGGATAGCCAGCGCGCGCGATTCCCACCTGCTGACCAACAATCCAAGCAAGCTCAGGTTTCTGCACTCAGGTTCAAAGGTCACGTTCAAGGAGTATCTCAGCATGAGGATTATTCGGAGGGTGTCCAATATCACCGAGTTCCCCGACCGAGAAACTAAAGGCAGAGCCAAGGAGATGATCAAGGGGGACGAAGCAATACAGACGTGGCTCTCACATATCGAAACGGACGAGTACCCAACCGACCGAAAGCTTGGCATGTTCGCCCTAGTGAGACAGGGCCAGCTTGCGATAGTAGCTTCGGATTTCCAGGAACCTTTCCAGACAGTTGAACTTCGGCGTCGAGGTCGACCTCAAGCTTCTGAACTATCAGCAGATACGCGAGACGCAGTCCTAGTGCTGCCGCTTCAACTGCGCCAACTGAACTGTCTACTGCAGCCTCGAGGACGTGGGTCAAGTACGCCACAGCGGATGGAGAACCGCAGGTGAACCAATTCGTGATCAACCTTCTCAACGCTTTGACACTCAGCCTAGGCCAGGGCGTTAACTGCCAATGGTCCCCTAATGGTAATCTGTCCGGTAGCGTGTCTTTTGGAGAAGTCCAATTAACCGCATATGTCGACGGATACCTTATGGGAGTCAGGAAAAGCGATATTTTTGCTATTGTGGAGGTAAAGGCTGGAATCCGGGACCCCGAGCAATATCCGTTGGTCTAGTGGCAAGAAGGCGCAGAAATGGTCAGCTGGATCATGAATGATGAGGAGAATCTGCGGCGTCATCCATTCGAAACGTAAGTGGAGTGTGAATATTCGCATATTTTCGTGCTAAGTGCTGTAGGCGCCTCTTGATCTCTTTGGATCGACATGAGATGTATTTGACACTCGCCCGCTACCACGAGGACTACGTAAAGTTCCTAAAGGGAGAATTTCAAGGGTTGAAGAGCTACCCCGAGGATAGATTCCTCCACTTGCACGAGTACGGCCCATGGGATATCGGCAAGAAATCTCACATGAGGGACCTGACCGAAATCATCGTAGGTTTTTCTCTCCGTGTCAAAGATAAACAGGCTAAATCGGCTGTGCCATCAGGGAGTGGCCCTGAGGGGACGTGAGCGCGATGTGAGCGATATACATGTCTCTAGCGTGTCCGGTGCAGTATCATTCCATTACAACGGTTTCTCGAATTTTCTCTCTCTCTTCCTTTCTTTCTTCCCCTATACCTGTTGTCTCGCATAGAGGCACTGTAAATCTTTGATCAAAAGTGAGTTTTCACATCGGGCCAATACCACCTGTCCTTTCGTCTCCTTTCATCACCATTCTTACCTACACAGCTCTCACTGATACACGCCAAGACTCGGCCCGAACCGAACCGGCTTGCTGGCCCTACACCCTCGACCCCACCTGCCGCTCCGCTCGCCTGGCTGAGCGAGATCCGATCTACAATCGATCAGAACCCTACGATCATGGTAAAAACCATCACATCTTAGTCGCCTATTAGCGCTAACTACTAGGAACTTAAACTTAACCCGGTCTATCTGATCTCGGTAACCCTATAGGTAGGCTGCGCCAAAACCCACGAAACCCAAAACCCAACCCAATCTATGGGCCCCCATTAAACCCATTAAATCCCATTAAATCGTAAAAACGTGACTTTCACATGACTACATAATTTATGCAGTTCTAGGTGGTTTTTTTTGGTATTTTGTATACATATGAACTATCTGAATTTATATATTACCAGCAATTATAGATTCAGAGAATGATTCAGATGATGATTTTATTTCATATCTATGTAAAGTTGGTGGAATCTTCCAACTTTGTCAAATATCTCAAGTATATATCTCTACAATTCTACACCACAACATATATTATATTGCACTTGTAAAATGAATCAATATGATATTCAAATATCGTCAGTTAAACTCACCATTCATATAGTTATTACTCTCTATTAAAGAGACATATCAGTTGTATTACTATATGAATTATGGCAGACACATTAAAACAGTGATAAAAAGCCCCAATTTATCAATATTATATAAGCCAAATTATGTAACTCGGCATTGCCTATCCGGAAAATAATACAGAGAATGGGTCGAAACGTGTCGAAATGGGTCTTGGGTTGGGTTTGGGTTTGGGATCTCGACCCACCAGTGGGTTTTGGCGCAGACTACCTAGAGTCCCACCCCCCTACTTTGTTACGGACATACCAGTCGCCAATCGATGGAGACCCCACAGCTACACAGATAGGCCACCGAGAGCCAACGCAGATGGCGAGAGTGCTCTGTGGTACAGTGTGGCGAAAGAGTCATCTGCGGCTGTGAATCAGCTCCTTCAACACCCTCGTGTCAAGATCGATCTTCCGAATCATGAGGGCCAAACAGTGCTCTGGCTTGCAGTCTTTAGGGGTAACAGAGACTTGCTGAGCCTGCTACTCTCAAGAGGCGCCAATCCCAATACCACGGACCGATACGGAATATCGCCATGGATCCAGTCATGCATCAGGGACAGGAACTGCATCAAATATCTGCTCCTAGGTCACGTAAACGCTGAGTCCCCTGAAATGTTTTCGAAGGATAGAGTATTTGCTGGGATGAAAAAAAGGAACGATATGCGAGGGCAGCTCTTCTTACGGACAAAGCCAAGTTCAGCTACGAATAAAGCGGGCGAGATTTGCCCATGTCTGACTATTATTTCCAACCAGGACAGCCCACTGGCTGCCTTTTACTTTATCTTATTCAACGTTAGTATACGCATATTGACTAACAGATTAACTAGCCATCACCTTTTGCCTCCACTTAATCGCACTATCTCGATGAGTCGCTTGCCTTCATACATGAGTATTCGGAATCAATCGGACAGCGCACATTGAGAGCACACTAGGGCAAAGGGTACTGTTTAGTGACAATTTAATCCAAGTTTTAAGGGACTTGAAGTATATAGTGATCTTTATTGCTTAAGGTTATTGTAGTGAGCACTCTGTTAGTTAGTGTAATGTGGATAATATATAGTTATATTTCAAAAAAGCCTCCGTAAGCTATATCCTCAGATAGAGCTGCTCCAAATTTTGTACTATCTATAGTACAAAACGTATACTAGTACCTTCAATCGTATTTTCTCGCCTACCAAACTGTAAGAGAGGCGGATACCCGCCGCATTTCCGTATCACCGCGTTCATATACGCTTATATGACTCTAGATTGTGGTAAGTAGTCTTATTAGCCGCGTTCACTAGAATCTTTAGTTCGTCTTCATCTTCTAATTACTCGAACAATTTGCTCTAATCGGTGAGTATATAACGTAGAGGGCTAGCGGTTAAGGCTTACGCGTAGCAGCTTTTCCGGTGAATTTTATCTCTTTAGCTCGTTAGGTAGATCCTTTAGCTCGGCGCTCTATAAATATTATGAAGGACTCTTTGTGATTAGCCTCTCTACCACCTTAGCTAAGGTAAACAGCTTTATAGTGGCTGCGTCTATCTCGCTATATTAAGTTGGTAACTATATGTAAAGGGAAAGCACCCTGGAGGCGGAACCGGGATCTTGGCATACATTTAACTTCTTTGTCTCGAGTCTCTTTGATGATTGCCAAGGATCGACCATGTGATCATCCTGAACACTACATGTGTCTGAGGAACTCGCAAGCTAGCTAGATGCATCATCGTGACGATCACGATCCAGGGACGAAGAGGTACAAGAGTGCCTCCCCCTGAATCTTGGACTTAGCAAGAATTAGTCTCTGCATGTTACGCTAGATGCGCAATTTTGATAGGTGGAAAGAAGATGATCTTTCTAAAGGCTAGCTAACTGATACAATGAGGGATAATAGTGTGGCTAGTTGTCACATGACCACTAGCCACACCACTAGCCACGGGGGCTTGCTGTGAACAATGGTAACATATGCCCCCCTCAGAAAAAGCGGCCGTCCCGGCGCTGAAATGGAAATTGGAAAGGCGCCCGGCTTTGACGGGCTTAGTGCGGGCTAGCAGGATAAGGCAGGACCGGTAACAGGACCGGGTCCTGGGATCGCCTCCGGCTCGTCGGAGCGCGCGCGCTGATGCTGATGGGACCTCCTTGTTGGAAACGTGTGTTGTGGGAAACTGAGATGGAAAAAATGAAGGCGGGAGATGTGAAGAGAAATTAGGGGGAAATAATAAAGCCTGGCTGGGTGAGGGTGCTGGTAACGGTGAGTGGGAAGTGAGCCGGAAGCCGTGAGATTCTCTCTCACTTGGACGTCACTTAAGTGTAGGAGCGGTGTAATATATAGGCACAAATTCAACCGTAAATATAAAGATAGGAGAGCTGGGGAAATGGAGGGTTAAGTAGGCGCGGGCCCTTAGTGGCCACGACTAGCGCGCTCGAAGTCGTCGACTAGGTCTCGGCAACCCTCTATCTCTGATTCGGGGATCCACTAGTCCTCCTTGGCTGACTAGCCTATCTATCTGACGAGGTACTAGGTAGTAGACGAGCGGGTACCGTTAGCTCGGGGACGTCCTCTAGCTGGTCGGACCTGTTTAGCTAGAATGCGTTCGACGTCGAAGCGGTCTATATCCTCTAGATAGCGCTCGTCGAAAGTAGGCTCGTGGGTATCGGCTGGCTGCCGTCCCTATAGATCGTCGCCGTGCGGTGCCGGCTCTAGATAGGCGACGCCGATAACTAGGTGAATACGTTTCTATAACTAGGACTATAGTAGGTCTAGCTTATAGGCTAGGCGCCCTACACGTTCGAGTACGCGGAACTTGCCGACGAATTTCTATCGGAGCTTGTTAGGTACGAGTGCGTTAGAAACGATATTATAACCGTCGCTAAGACGAAGGTAGACTATATCACCGACTTTGAAATATATCGGCTTATATTTATTATCGAAAGTTCGCTTTATCGCGGCGGCGGTATAGGTAAGGGAGTGCTCCGCGTTAGCGCGGGCGACTAGCTTATCGTCCGGGGCTGCCTACCGTAGTAGGTTCTATAGGTAGCGTAAGTTAATACTATATAGGAGTCGGTGCGGGGTATAGCTAGTTACTAGCTTAGAGGTTATATTAATAGCTATCTAAAGGGCCGGGAGAGCTTGTTTCTATTCCTTATAGCGATAAGTCGCCACCTAGTGCCGTAGTATAATCTCGGCTGTCTAGTTAGTTCTCTCGGACTAGCCGTCGGCTTAGGGGTTATAAGCGACCGAGTAGAAGAGGCGTACGTTAAGGATCGAGAATATACGTCTCTATATCCCTTACACGAATTTAGGATCTCTATCCGAAATAATCGTAAGCGGGAGCCCCTAGTTAGCGAGCCACTAGTAGGTCAAAACCTTATCGGCCTAATCTTCGCTAGTCTAGGTAACTTTTCCGGGTAGGAGCGCGATTAGCTTTATAAATTTGTCCGTTATTAATATAACTACGTCGTCTCCGTCTATAGAAGGCGGGAGGCCTACGACGAAGTCGACTATAATTATATAGAACGGGATAGGTAGGGAGAGCACTAGTTAAAGAGAGCCGTAAGGTTTATAATAGGGAACGGTGTTTTCTTAGTAGACCGGGTAGTATTATATATATTTCTTAAGTAGCTTAGCGCCTTTATAGAAGGTTAGGCCCTAGAGTTTCTACTAGGCTACGTCGAAGCCCTAGTGGCCTTATTTGTCGTAGATAAGATTAAAAATCTCGCTAATTATAGACTTAGGAAGATAAAGGGAGTCGCTAGAGCTAGCTAACTAAAAATATAGTAGACTATCGTCCGCGAGCCTATAGGGCAGCTTAGCCTTTATAGGGTTATCCGATACCTCTATATCGAGTAAGGTTTTAAGAAGTGGGGCCTAGCGTATATCTTTATTATAGCTATCGGTAATCGTACGTTTTATATCTTCACTTAACTCGACGATAGATATCTAGAAGGCGTATAAGGTATCGAGGACGTAAGGCGCGTCGATATTATCGAGGCTATCGTCCGGTCTAGCTTAGGTAGGGTCCGTAGTTAGCAACCTAGAAAGAGTATCGGCGACCTTATTAGTTTTACCGGGCCTATAGAATAGCTATAGAGAGAATTATTAAATATACTATAATACGCGGACTAACCTAAGGTTCGTGCGGTCTATAGCCGTAGAGGATAATATAGTGGCTTAGACGATAC